AAAAAAAAAAAATAAAAATAAAAATAAAGGCGGAAAAGTCTGCCTTCAGATCTTTAGAATGAGTGACGCCAGCAAGCACTCTTGCACTTCACTCAAACATACTATCTTGCTCATTTCAGGGTATGCAATCGAAATATGCCTTGGCGATCGTGTCACTGTGGAGCACAATTCCGTGCTGACTTCTCCACTGTGGAGTTTGCTTCACTGCGGTTTAAACAGCTGCCCTGTCCCATCATGAAGATTTCAACTGTCCTCAACCATCTATATCAACTCAAATATAGCTGAAGAGTAAACATGAGTCTTCTGGAAGCAAGTACATCTGACGTCGAGTCAGCATCGTCCACCCCGCCGGAAGTGCAGCCGCTGCTGCATCCCGAGACAGCAGTTCCTTGGAAGCCACCACCAGGCTTCGTCTGGATCCAGCTAGGTTTGGATTGCTACCGTCACAGAAAAGCAAAGCTACTAACGCACAATATAGCCATCATGTCCAATGTTTTCCTGTCTGGATTTGATGGTACGATTACTGCGTCGACTTATGCCATCATCAGCTCCGATTTCAACGCCGCCAACACTGCGTCGTGGCTCACGACTTCGTACCTCATCACCAGCACCGCCTTCCAGCCATTATACGGGCGTTTTTCAGATATCTTCGGTCGGCGGGCTTCGTTCTTCACCGCCACTGTCACTTTCATAATCGGCTGTCTGGGGTGCGGGATTGCGACGAATGTGGTTTTCTTGAACCTCATGAGAGCACTTACTGGCATCGGGGGAGGGGGCTTGATGACCATGGGTGAGTGGAATGAATAGTTATGTTGCTATTCTCATGGAGAGATTATCACTGACTTGAGCTAGCCACTATTATCAACTCAGATCTCATCCCCTTTCGTCGCCGAGGTATGTATCAGGCGGTTCAGAATGTGTTGCATGGCTTCGGGTCGATCTGTGGTGCATCTCTAGGAGGCTTCATCGTGGACTCGATTGGTTGGCGATGGTGCTTTTTGTCGCAGGTACCGGTAGGCTTCTTAGCATTGCTCACAGGCCACCTTGTTCTTATTATGCCTGCTCAGGGGAAATACCTTGAGCAAGGACATGACTTTCGAGCCGTGTGGCGACTCCTTGACATTTCTGGAGCATTAGCTCTTATACTGGGCCTGTCGACCCAGCTGGTAGGTCTGAGTCTGGGCGGTAATGAGCTTCCTTGGTCCAACGGGTGGGTTATTATGTCTTTGCTGGCGAGTTTGGTGTTCCTCGCCATGTTCGTTCATATAGAAAGAAGTACAACTGCGGTTCCCCTGATCCCACCGCACATGTTGGCAGGGCTGCTTCCTGTGGCCACTCAGATTGCGAACGTTTGCGTCGGAATGGCCGCCTACGCTGTAAGCACCTCGAACTCAATTACTGATCTGCAGCCATGACTGACATGAGGGCAGTTCCTCTTCACGCTACCTCTTTTCTTCCAGGTCGTGCTTATGGAGTCACCCGCAAAGGCTGGCGCGAGACTCGCCATTCCATCTTTTGCTACCCCGATTGGCGGAATTATCTCCGGCATTGTGATGTCTCGTTGGGGCAAGCTGGCCTACTTGGTTCGGGCTGGTTCATCGCTCATGTGCATTGGCAATGCACTGGTTGCGCTGCTACATTTCCAAGACTCGGAATGGAAATACTTCACATACCTAATTCCCGCAAGCCTCGGACAGGGTATTGTCTACCCAGGCGTCTTGTTCACATTTCTCGCTGCTTTTGAGCATGCAGGTAAGTCGCGAGTAACCCAAAGGCAGGGGTCTGAGGTTAGCTGACTTAGCGGTAAGACCATGCCGTGTCGGCTTCCACTGTATATTTGGTCCGTTCAATGGGCACCGTTTGGGGGGTCGCCATCACGTCCACGATTATTCAGAATACACTGCGCTCGGGCCTCGGGGAGGCCTTGAGTGGAATACCAGACAAATGGAAAGTAACATCCCTCTCTTCGCGTTGTGGTGACTAATGAGAGCACCGGCTGATCAAGTTCCTACACCAATAGATCGTCGAGGAAATTCGTCACTCGGTCTCCGCAATTCACAACTTACCACCGGATGTTCAATTAGCTGCACGGTTAGTCTATTACCAGGGCATCCGACTGTCCTTCGTGGCATCAGCCTGTTTTGGACTCGTGGCAACCGTCGCTGCGCTGTTTACTAAAGGAAAAGGCCTACATCGCTCGCACAATGCGTAGAGACTGGCTACCAGATCCCTGCCGTCTCCACAGCGAGTGTTAATGAGCGTGCGAGATGATCGCTTCAGACACGCAAAAAGGTATGTCTGGTGAGGATCATCCTTTAGCTAGAAGAGGCAGCGCTTGGTGAAATGCGGAAATTAGTACGGGGTTGGGCGCGGACGGACATTGCATCCTAACCGCAAGTGATCGATACAATACAGGCGTGTCTGCTTCACAGATGCATATATATAGGTCAATCGAAAGAGGACATTCTTGCAGAGAGACTCAATTTGTCTTGGTAATTGACGTGTCTCAACACGAGAGCTTCGCATGTTGGTTCCGCCCCCGCATTTGGAGAATTTAAACTCTAGATCTTGAAATTGCCGAGGGAAAGTCACTGTCACTGTTAGTCCTCATCTCTCGGAACAGCTAGACATAGACTAGTAACATAAAAGGTCTGGCTGTCAACGAGTGGGGTTAAGGGGTGAGCTCAGGGTCCTCATTCACGCTTTGAGTACCAGAGGCATCTTCCACAGACACATTGGCATCACTAGCTGCATCACCCCGCGTTTTCGACGATGATCGTCTGCTGGTTAATTCCGTTCCAATTCCGCCATAATGGGTCTCTCCAAGCTTATTTCAATGCAAAGCCGGGGCCCGCTCCGATAACTGAGCTCGGAATGCTTATCGCATTCCGAGCCATCGGTCATTACCTACATGGTATCAAATAGCCTTGACTGCGATGAATCAACGAAACCCCAATTCCCCACCCCAGAGGAACTTATCAGACTAACCTCGCTTATCATATTGTGGCGTTCATTCAAGGCAAGTATGTAGGCTAGGTCATGCGTAAGAGGATGGCAAGGGCCATTTAACAGATGATGCTCCTCCCTTCGCGCCGTGCAGTTCCGCCCCAGTGCCTCTTCTTGAGTAAGAATCCTACTTACACATCCTATGGAGTTAGACAACCCTAAGCGTGTGTCTTCCAAATCCGGCCATGAGGCCCCCTATGATCCCGAGGTCGACATGGCCAAGGGCCAGGTCGCCATCACGGGCGTGCCTGATGCGCATATGAAGCGAAACTTCAGCATTCTCAGTATCATCGCCATGGGATACAACAATACCAATAGCTGGGTGGCGATAGCAGCCAGCTTCTCCATCGCCATTCAGTCGGGCGGCTCAGTCTCGCTGTTGTATGGCATTATCGTAGTCTTCTTTGCTATGCTCTGCACGGGCATTACCTTGGCCGAGCTGGCGAGTGTCTACCCTACCGCCGGCGGGCAGTATCATTTCACCTCAATCCTGGCTTCGAACCGGTGGAGTAAAGTCCTCTCATACTCGAGTGGCATCGCCGCCCTGTTTGCATGGATCACCCTTGGGGCTTCTATCTGCTTGTCCACGACGAACGTGCTCATGGCGATTGTCATCCGGTGGCAGCCCGAGTACGAAACCCAGAGCTGGCACTACTTCCTTGTGTATCAGCTGCTTAACGCGATCTTGGTTGTGTACAACATCTTCCTTACCAACAAGACTCTGTGGGTGTATAATCTGGGTTGTGAGTGATGCCATTGGCTATCCCGGTCGAAGTATCCAATATCGGTATTATCCTCATGCTAACCATTGGTACATTATAACTGTATCGTCCCCGAATAGTCCTCCTTTCTATCTCAACTTTTCTTGCCCTGACCATCACCTGCCCTGCACGCTCCTCTGCACACGTCAGCTCATCTCATATTTGGGGAGAATTCGTCAATGGGTCTGGCGGCTGGCCAGACGGCATTTCGTTCCTTACGGGTCTCTCCACGCCTCAGTTCATGTACTCGGGCCTTGACGCCACCCTCCACCTGGCCGAGGAGTGTCTTGATCCGGAGCGCATTGTACCCAAAGCCGTCATTGTGACCGTGATTGTCGGACTTTTCACCGCGTTTCCGTTTGCCATTGCGGTTGTATACAGCTATAACGACATCCAGGCCTCTCTCGACAGTCCCACAGGGTGTGTGTGACCCTTCTCTTTGTCGATACACATACAGATCGAACTATTATAGCAAGTCGAAGCTAACACATATACCAATGACAGCTTCCCCATCTTCTTCGTCTGGGAAAAAGCCACCCAGAGCCCCGTAGCCGCCACAATCTTCATGGCCGCCCTCTTCGTCGTCTCCCTCATCGCCCTCAACGCCGTCCACCAAACCGCCTCGCGGCTGACCTGGTCCTTTGCCCGCGACGAAGCCCTCTTCTTCTCGCGTTATCTAGCCAGAATCCACCCTTCCCTCGGTGTACCCGTCTACGCTTTGATTCTGGATGGTGTTGCCGTTCTTCTCGTTGGTATTGTCTATGTCTGCTCGACAACCGGTAAGCCATACGCCTAACCCATACTCTTCACAAGGCCCTCCCTCTCTCACTTCACAAAAGTAAAAAGAGAATTCCAATACTAACACGCCGGACACCAAAAAGCATTCAACGCCTTCATCAGCACAACCGTCGTCGTCGCTCAAATCTCCTACGCCATCCCCGCGACCCTCCTCCTCTACCGCCGCCGAAGCCCCGACTACTTACCGCGGAACCGTCCCTTCAAGGTCCCCGGTCTGCTCGGATATCTGTCGAATATCATCTGCGTTCTGTGGGCGATCATCATCACGATCTTCTTTACCTTTCCGATGGAGTTTCCGGTCACGGGGGGAAATATGAGTATGTCTTCATTCTGCTCCTTTCCTTGTTGCTTCCCACTTGATGAAGTGTGTGCTTGTTGCCCCTTTCCTTTTTCTCTTGCTGAAACCGTGCCCTTGTACCGTTCGTTCGTTCCGGTTACACGCGGCCCCCTTTCTTTATGTGTGTGCTTACAAAACACATCCGACATGATCGAGAAAAACCAAATACACTAGAATACAGGACACAAGGACACTGACTAACCCTCTTGATTCACTATAGACTACGCCTCCGTCGTCCTGGTCATCATGCTCATCCTAGGGGTGGGGAATTGGTACGCCTATGCCCGACGTCACTATCACGGGCCGAGACTGGAGATGTGATTGCTGTTTGATTTCGCGATTGAGAGCAATGGATTCCGGGAGATGCTCGTAGGGCGAATTTAGTTAGAGCTACTATCTACGCAATGAACATACCAATCTCGACGTATGTGTGCGGGAAGTATATAAAACGCTGGCTTTCGAGAGCTAACTGATCCTTCGATGCTATTCACAAGGATACGATATGTTCTTCCTTGAGGATCGGTCAAGGCTACTATGGATTGTATGGTCAATGGGGAATTCAAAATCTATGGAACTCTACAAACGGTGATGATACCGCCTGCATATAAGCCTATATGAGAGTCTGGCATGTTGTGATAGATAGAAGGGGTTAGGAAACAGACTGTAATGGTTATAATCATTCGATGAATCGGGGTCTGTTAGGGGCTGAGACTTGAGATTCCGCGTGACCTGCATTTTTTCCCTATGATCGGAGAGAGGAGCCAAGAGTGAGCAAAAGAGCTAACACTCCACCCGGTTTTTCCGGTTCCGTGTAACAACTTAGTTCTCAAAGCGTGATGACTTCATCCTTCAATTACATGCCCTCAGTATACAGGGTACACTGGAGTCTGGAGTGTTGCCCAAAATACATCATCCGGATTCTCTCAAATCCGTTTCGTCCACCAGGAAATGAGGATTGATTGCACTGCAGTCCGAATTTAACAACTTGAACTAACAACAACACCTACTTCCATCGATGTAGTTACTCTTCGCTATCCAACCAGTTCAGGTACAGCCAACATTCCGACAGCCCGCTCGACGGAGACTAAGCAAGCATGGCAGACCACCAGAGTGGCAAATCGCAATGGGATAGAGCTCCAAGCCATAACTTGGAAGGTCGAAGAAAGGAAGAAGAGGTCAATCATGAATTAGGCGCCATGCGGCTATGGAGAAACCCGGATCGGTTGAATCCTTCACTCAGGGGCATATCCTCGGATTAGAGCCTTAGTCCCAGATAGAAGAATCACACATTTCACCAGAGACAGAAAAAAAAAACCCGCAGTTCCACAAATCAAGCAGCGCAACATATGAAAATTAAACATAGGAAATGGGAGACTCCGGGGGCGGGAAACCGTGGCGTAACAACGTCTATCGCGGTCGAACCACGGCGGCCCGTCTTTATTTCCCGGCGCCCTTCAGCTAAATAACTCGAGCGGTCTAGTGGTGTGTAAGCAGGAGTCGTGGGAGTGGCGGTCATGGGTAGTAGAAGCAGCAACGCCATTATTGTTGGAGGATCGTTTCGTGTAACAAGGAGAGGGGGGAAGGTCGTCGTTCGATCATGGCGTCTAGCACATTTCGCAGCACTCGATACAGTCAAAGCAGCACTCGCAGGTCTCTTCGCACAGACACAGACAGCACAGGGTGGCCAAGCTGAAGAGGAGGAGAAATAGTCGTCAGCAAGGGATGTTTGCGGTCGGCAGAGAGCAATGCGATGGAGCGCTTACCAGGTTCCTAGACAGCCGCGGTCCTTCTGCTGGGGAGGAGGTTGCTGCTGGTACTGCATGGGTTGCTAAAGGGAATGGTCAGTGACAATCGCCGGCACAATTTCGGATCGCAACGTACAGGAGCATAGCCTTGGGGAGGAGGACCGGGGGGATAGCCTCCCTGGGGAGGGTAACCCTGCTGATAGCCTTGCGGGGGATATTGGCCGTAACTATTTCGGGGGCGATGGTCAGAACATTTTGCGCACGATGAGGTAGCCCAGGTCAAACCCCGGGCGACATAGGTCGGACGAGCGTAGGCCAGAAGAATGCCATGGCGATGAATCTCGTCCAGTCTGTCGGGCTGGACCCGCGATTCTCGTCCGCAGGAGAGGAAAAACCGGGGCGCGACGGCAGTTACGGAGGCCAAGGGACCGGGCGCAACGGAGGAGGAAGGGAGAGAACTTACGCCTGCTGAGGCGGAGGAGGGCCGTTGTAGTACCCTTGATGAGACATGGCGACAGGAACGGTAGCTGGAGAACCAAGAAAGCGAAGCAATGATGGTCAGCGGAGAGAAAGCTTGGAAGAAGGAAGAGAGAACGGGGGGAGTGAGTTGAAGAGTTGAGTAAGAAGCAGGCCGGGCGTGAGCGAGAGAGGGAGAGAGAGAGGGGAGAAAGAGGAACCAAGTGGCTGAGGGAGCCAATAATGACGGGGTGTGGGACATACCTGAGATTACGCCAAGAAGAGGATGTGACGGGAGTAAGACAGCGAAAAAGCCTGGAAAGAGAGATAAAAGGGACAGAGATAGGGGGAAGAGAAGATCAAAACCAAAGGGGATCGACCTCGTGCAGGATGAAAAGAGGAGTTCACAAAGAGGAGGCAGAAGAAAGAAAGGGAAGAAGGGAATCGAAGGCGATGAATGATTTGATGGCTGATGCAATGAGGCTGAGGCAGGCGGATGTATTACCAGAACCCTGTATGGTACGGTATCACCTCACATTCAGCACTCGTTGCTTGTGGTGGTCGGGCGGTAATGGTATGGTCCCAGGCATCTGCGTGAGTCCGCCCCCACGTATTGACTATTTACTCCGTAGTGATTGCCTCGGCGCTAAGTTACCCTTCTGTGCTAAATTAAGCCATAAATTCACTACTAACAAGTATCAGGTATCAGGACGGGAACGAGAAACAGGAATCACACCACTATTCAGTGGCTATTCAGTGGCTATCCACTGAGTGCAAGGCAGTGGAACACTCAGCCACATCGCAGCCCTATAGGAACAAAACCCTTTTCCAGGTGTAGACCGCTAGGCACCAGCCACGAGAGTTCCACTTCCAATGGCAGTGTCCAGACACGGGCTCGTTGCCCCAGATGGTTCCAGACGGTTTCTATTCTCTACGGAGGCAATGCCGGTCATTCCCGGACTGAGCGCTTGGGGTCAATCCCGACCGGTATGTGCATTTCACGTGACTCATCTGCCTACTCCATACCTCGTCGTTGTGTACAACCTTACAACTCCTGAACCACGAGAATTCAATCGTCACCATCGTCAGCAACATCTACTGCGTCACTGCGTTGACTTCTAGCTCAGCTCCGTAATGACCGCGCCTATGGCCCGGGTCTTTCACCTTGGCTTCGCCCCAAGGCCACACCATCGGACGAACGAAGCCCTCTGCGAGAAGCTCCATCTCAGTTCCAAAATAATTTCCTCGATGTGACGACTTCTGCCGTTCTTGATCAGCGTCGCGGCAGACATCCCACATATGTCGCTGTCAAAGGAAGTCATGCATATCGAAGACCGTCGCCCCGAAATGGGCATGATCCGGGCCGCTGGATGTTCGACGAGCTGCGACGAGACTTTCTCCTCCCGCACGAGATCGCTTTCGCTTATTTGGATGATGAGAAGATTCACCTCAACCTTGAAACGAGGGTATATACGTACCGCCGCCACGACGCTTCCCAACGCTTATGCGCATTTGAACATTTGGAAGCATGCGAGATATCTACCTACTGGTCAATATAGATACAATCTAAGCATGAAATTGGCAAGAATCACATCCGGAAGTTGAGAGCGACAAGGAGGACTAACGGAGTCTCTATGCCCATCATGCCCCAAAATTCTTGGCCACGACCAGAAATAAGAAGCAGGTAAAAAGCACAGAATGTCTAACCCTTCCGTCTCGACATGCATTCCTAAATCCCCCGTCTGATGCGCCTGCTTTATCTCCTTGTTGACAGTCGGCGTATTGGACGCCTTGGGTCCTGAACTCAAGTACGCTACGAGTATGATGAGGCTTCGGATAGCGTGTTTGAGGTAATATCTGACGAACTTTATCTGCGTTGAAGGGCTTAGAGGTCTCACGAAGATACTGAAAAGACGAACTCGAAGTCTCGAACACCGAGGAAGCATTCAACTGGTTGCCATAGGAAGAGACAGCCCTGAGTGGTCCTAGACTCGGTGTCAACCATGCTCAATAAGAAAGCCTGCCGGGCTTTCCATCACCCGAACCAAGAAGTTGTCACGGGCTGCTCGCCGCTTGGGCGCTACGGCACAAAATCGGCCGCGCGCGTGACCTTTCCTCAGCTGGGATTGGCGCTGATGGTGAAAATCGGCGGCGGGTCCTTTAGCTCCGGGGCCGATATCCGGCTTGGAGATGTGCAAGGCTCGGAGGAGTGACGCAGTAGTCTGGAGAAACGCCTGCCGCACGGCTGGTCATTACCTCCAGCAGAGCGGGAGGTTTGAAATCTTGCCAGGCAAGCTGCTGTCGGCACTCGGCGAGCTGCAAAGGTGGTATACAATGACGCCGAGCAAATATATTCGGATTGCGGAGCATATGCGACTTATGGGCCATGGCTAAGAAGCCCAACGTTGAAGCCCCGTGGGGTTCGGGTTATGCCGTCATGGGTTGCCCAGACCAAGAGCGAAGTGGTGCAAGGTCTCTCAAATCATGGGAACGGAAGTTGACCTTCTCGTAAGAATCCACCGGCTTCATCAAATCGGCTTCTCCACCCGCATAATGCATATTCCGGCACTTTGTCATTGGGCTTGGCGCGGGATCTAACCCTGCTTTCCAGCCCGTCAAGCCGGAGACAGTGGTTCGATTCTGGCTCAAAGATTCGCAAAACTATGTAGTTATATCGGATGATGATGCTTTACTCTAGGTGCCGGGCTTATCCCAGTTCCTTTCCGTCACCTCCCCACCTTCATTCCCCACGCTCTTCGTCCCGTTGGGGAGACTCTCAGTCACCCGCCGCAGTCGGAACTTGCAGACGCAGTAGTATATAAGTTACACCATATCCCAGCCCGTACAAGTCAATGTGAGAAAGAGCTCCTCAAACCGGGGATAACAGTGACCTAGTGGAGAGGGAATTTCCAGGTGAACCATGACTCCCTGGGCGACCTATGGATGGCTTGGCCTTGCCTCCCTTGCTCTCGGCCATTTGAACCCTCCTTATTATGCGGATCTGAGTTGGCAGCCCGCGCGAACCTTGTCCAACTGGTCGAATCTGACCGTTGAGACCCGTACCGGAACATTCATTGGCATCTTGAATGATACCTATCCAGATGTCCGCCAGTTCCTGCGAGTACCCTATGCACAGGTACTTGGCCTCGACAAAGCCCTTTCGAATACATGGCTTGCGGAAGCATAGAAGCTGACAATCATTCCGTGTCCCATTCCAGCCACCGATTGGCGACCTTCGCTGGCTTCCTCCCCAGAGGTTGCCGCACTCATCGAAAAGAATTGACTCAACTCGGTTTGGCCCGGGTAAGTTATATGAATGCCTCATTAGCCAGCCACGGGCAAGAGCGGGCCGATTGATTGACAACAATGAATCTTTTTAGCCTGTCCACAGTATGTCGCTTCGGGCGAGTCCATGTGGGCACAGTATGAACCGCCGAATCTCCTGCTCAGTATCGGCGAGGCCGACAATCAAGGATCCGTGGCGTGGTCATCGTCGGAAGACTGCCTCTCCCTGGCGATCTGGACCCCGGCCTATGCTAATCAGACCTCCCATCTCCCGGTGGCACTCTTCGTCACGGGCGGGGGAGGAACCACGGGGGGCATTGCAATTCCCTCTCAGCTGCCTTCGAATTGGGTTTCCAATTCGCAGGAACATATTGTGGTGACCATTAATTACCGCGCGAATATCTTTGGAAGTTAGTACAGAACTTGAACACCTCAAATATCTCAAGCACATCTAACAATAGGAACTCTTCACTTCTAGACCCTAAGTCCAAAGCTTTGAACGAGACATCCTTGACTCTAATGGATGTGCGTGCGGCGGTGGAGTGGGTATCGGAGAATATCCGGGCATTCGGGGGTGACCCAGATAATATCATGGTGAGTGGGCGATGAGTGTTCCCTACAGACCTGAGCACAAGGTTAATCAATCCTTTTTCCCAATGACAGCTGTGGGGCCAATCCCAGGGCGCTGCCCTGACACACCTCTATACCCTCGCCTACCCCGATGATCCTCTCGCGGTCCGGTTCGGCGTGATTTCTGCGCCGCCATCGGTGACAATCGACCTCACGGAGACAGAGGATGTTTATGAGGACTTTCACATTGTTGCCAAAGGTCTAGGATGCAATTACGGGGACGATGCCGAGGCGGAGTTGGAATGCATGCGCCAAGTATCCTGGGTTCAGATTGAGGAGTTTGTCAACCGCTACAATGGCACCCCATCCATTGCGTTTTCCGATTACATCCGTTTGTCTTCCCCCCTCCCACAAAACCTCCATGGCGCTTGGACCTATCTTCCTTTGACTAACGAAAGATGGCCATTCCTACAGCTGACGAGAAGTACATCTTCGCCAATGAAACCGAGCGCTACCAGATGGGTCGCGTGGCCCCCGGGCCGGCGATCCGCTCCAACGCCGCCCGCGAAGATCCCATCACTCCCAACAATGACACCGCCACTATGGAAACAACAGGAGAATGGCTCTGCGCCTCGTACAAGGATGCTCTCCTGCGAGCCTCCCAGGGGCTCGAGACCTACCGGTATGAGTGGGCGGGCAACTTCACCAACATCAGCCCTGTTCCTTGGCTGGGCGCGTTCCACTGGTCGGATCTCTTGATGATTTTTGGAACCTATATGCTTGATGTTGGGGAGATCTCGGAGCTTGAGGTCGAGACCTCGCGGACGATGCAGGACTATTTGCTGGCTTTCCTCAAGGACCCCTCCACGGTCACTGAGACTGTGGGTTGGCCTGCCTTCAATGCCAGTGCTTCGTCTGGAGGGCTGATTCTGGAGTTTGGAAACACGACGGCCGTGCGGAATATCACGGGGGATTTCCTTGAGGCAGGTTGCTGGGATTCTAGCGCTGGGTTCCGCATATTCGGACGCGATGAGAGAGTTCCACTGCCGTGGAAGGGATGATCGTGGCCACTTGGGAGGACAACCACGAGTTTGGTGCAGATCTAAAGAAGAGGATGTGATTACGAGAACAGCGTGTCCGCAGACGTGCATGAAGCATCACAATGATCGGATAGAAAAAAAAAAAAAGGCCGATGTCATGTCCAACAGCGATGAAGTACAGATTCCCAGGTGATGGTGAAGACAATATCGATAGAATATTTGGAGCATGAAGTAGTTAATCAACGTCAACCAGTTGACATGATGAGACTCAGGGACTAACCTTTGTGAGTAGGTATTCAGTATATCGGCTAGACAATCACGTGTTAGTTATAATGTACGGTACTTATTGGAACGGAGACCCCAATCCAAGTTCCCCGCGAAGATACAGCCAAACTCCTCAGACTTGATCTCTGCAAACTAGGTAGAAAGCATTGCGGGGGGCGAGACATCCCTCGGTTCCCAATGCCTGCCCAAGTCCATACGAGAGCACAAGATCATTGCATTAGAAACGCGCGCGGTTTGGATATCAAAGCCAGCTATCCAGCCACGAATAGCGCCCCAAGTCTGTCTGAGCCCATACTTTCAAGAATGTGTCTGATTGGAATATAATCACCAGGATTCAGCATACCAGTACGTAGGGGCAGCTACTACAGGCTCAGGGTCCGAGGATAGGAATGAATGTCCTCCTCCTGGCTTATGCTAATAGCATAGGTGGAATTGATAGCACCCAATGTCAGGGTTACCCTTTTCAACCAGCACATGCTCACCCACGCTCTCGCCGAGATCTTCAACGGCACTATCACATCGTGCCCAGTCTATACTATCTTCTTCAAAGGCTCTACAGGCAGATTCTACAGCCTTGATGCGTCGTCCTCGGTAGGGGAAGGGGGCAAGCCTTCCAGCGCGCAGTGGGTAAGCTGGCTTGCAGATATCACAATCGTCTATTGTCCGGGAAAAGAGATTGCTTGCGCTGGTGGTACCCAGGACTTGATTGAGGATTTATGATATCTATTAGCGCGTGGAAACGTAGAAACGCAACTGAAAGGGAGAATAGAACCAGACAGAACCATAATGTCAGAAGACATGGCACTTACAGGAGAACGCCCATACAACAGTGGAAGCGTTGAAGATGGCTGGAGTCGCGAACTTCATGACGGGCAAAGTAACTTAGTAATAGATAGAACAGACGTCCAGTGTCTGTCCTGGGTCAAAAAATACGTCTTCGCGAGGGGACCGATACTTTTCGCACGGCATCCAAGCAAAGCATTTTCGTCCGGCAGAGAATAATCGCATTTGCTGGGAAGGTAGAACTCCCAGGCGGTGTACCGTACATCAATTGCGCCGCCCAGCAATTGTAGGATAGCCAGTCAGTATTGGTATCGATCAATTTAAGGGCCCGCTGACCGATTCCGATAGTAGTCCTACGTAGTAAGCCACATTTGAATCTGAGTGATCGGTACGAAATCTATTCGCTTCGCACGCTTTTCTTGAATAGCACCAGGTGGTCTCTCACCTACAGACAATCACGGTTACGCGTGTGGCACGGGCTTGTGCTGCCGATGGCTGGAGTTGAAGCTCGGTTGAATAGATTACTTAGGTACTGGATCAAGGTCAGATTGTGCTACGAATGCGGGGCGGGATTTGTTAGACGTATGTCGTGTACAGCGAATGTAGATGCGGCTACTCTTGCCGCGGAATGCAGGTTGGCAGCAAAGGGTAGTCGATGCAAATTAGTCAATGTGTAAAAAAAAAAAGAAAACACCGGAGTATCAATCGGGGGGATTTCTAGCCCATGGGGACGGTAGTGCACGAGAAAAACTCGAATGTCGCGCCATACGATCTATAAGAGGTATAAAAACAGATAAATGACTGGCAGTGCGAAGTCTATTCCAGGGCATATGGCTAGTACAGTACATTCCAGCTCAGGGAACACTGAAATTGACGGTTAGTGCTGCTAGAATCGCTCGATGCTCCCACACTTTGGGTCGCTCGGTCAGGCAGTATCATTATTCATGTCGCAGAAAGCCATTGATGTAGTGAAAAGATTGTGATAGGGTCAGCATCAGACATTCGCCCAGTTTTGCCGTCAACACGCGCCCACAACTCCTTCCCAGCCACTGGGTGTCACTCAATTGAGGCTCAGGCTTTCGTTCTGAGAAGCGTGCATGCTGGTAATCAGTCTGAATTACGAAGTCTTGCATAGTGGTCCAGCGGTCGCCCTCCCTGCACCTCACTGTCCCTAGGACAGACGAGCAAAGCGGCATGGCTCTGGACCTGGCTTCTGAACATCTCTTTGTCCAAATCAATATATTCAAAAGTCTGTATATGGTTGACTGTCTGTTCATCACACATTATATCGTAGCGCGCCCCCAGGGCGGCCGAAAGGGTGATAAGATCGACCCTTGGTGTCTGAAAAAGATAAGAAGAGGGTAAATATGAGAACCCAAAGAGAAAAGAAGAACAATGGGGAAAAGAAAAAGAAAAAGAAAAGAAAAAGTGGGGTGGGCAAGAAATTTGACAAGAAGATTTCGCAAGAAAATGTCCAAAAGTCAAAAAATTAGTATCACATCAAGCCGGAATCCAGATTCAAAGAGTAAGATGAGAAAACAAGGCCGAAGGATGCAAGATTAATACTCAGGTGACGAGAAGCGCCTAACAGGCAGCACGGTCACACATACGAATCAATCTCAGGGGGAAGCGAGGGAGACTCGAAATAGCAAGGAGTAGCATCAAGGGGAACCTCCATGCCCAGCGCGGGAAACGTGGTCATGGGGTCATACCCGTCAATGAGGGCAGTCTCTAAGCCCTGAGAAGAGATCTCATCGGCCGACGCCAGCGGCAGGGTGGACAATGGCACATCTTCCGCCCCAACCACCAACGGTGCGGCCGCCAAGTCATCACCTAAAGCTTCCTGGTTATTGTAATTTCCGAGAACAAATTCGGTCTTCTGCACCATCCAGTGCTTCAAGACATCCATGGGAGGGTGGTTACCACCACCCTTGCCACCGCGCTTCTCGCTGTCTTTACCCCGACCACCCCGGCCGCGCTGGCAGGGGTTGAAGTGGGTGCGACGAAGATGAGCCGCGGCGTTGTAATTAGCACCATAGCGCTTGCCATTGCGACAAGCCTTGCAATTCGCCAAGAAGGTCTTGTCAGGAGAAATGTCCACGCAGACCCAAACCTTACGAACCGCAGCGTGTACCCGCTCGATATGCCGACGCAGCTCGTGCTCCCCATGGAAGCCCTCGGGCTGGTCGTTACACATGTTGCAGTACGTCTTCGGACGCTGGGGCCGTTGAATCGAGGCCTTGGGGATTGCAGCCACCTCCTTAGCCGTTCCATCTGAGGATGAGATTCTTATCATCTTATGTTCGCCTCCCTTAGGGGGTGAGCTGCTCTGGGGCTCCGCTTTAGGGGCAATAGGGCGAGCGCCCTGCACAATTTGCTCTTGAGTTCTGCGCGCTGCTCTGGAGGTCTGGGAAGTAGATGAGGGACTGTCATTCTCAGCAGACAATAGAGGTTTGATCTCTGTCACAGGAGATGTGGAGAGGGTAGGAATCTGTGTATAAAATGGGGTCGATGAGGGGGCAGAGCAGGAGAAGGAAACAGGGGCAGTGGCGTCGGGGTAGGAGAAGGCGAGATCTTGGGCGGGATTTTGGTGCAGGGAGTTGAAGGTGGTGGGGAAAGGAACATTCATCGGCGAACTGGAGGGCATGAACTCGGTGGAAGGGACGGAGAAAGAAAAAGTGGAATCGAGGTTCGGTCCAGAGGAATCAAACCTCATCATGCCAAACCCCCCGCAAAGCGAGTCAGTGGTCGTACTTCTGCTCATTTCCACCGCGGCCGGCTGGTCGGCCATCATGGAATTCGCCAAGGTGAAGTCGGCCAACAGTTCAGGCTGGGCCTGAGCCAACTGCGACCTTTGTTGGTCGTATCCGGAGAGCGTGGGATCCGCCGAAAGCGCCATGGAAAGAGCAGAGACGTTTCCTTGGCCTTGGAAGTCACCGAAATACTGCTTGGCGTATTCCGACGGGGTGTATTCGTTGACATGGTCCAGCCGGCGCTGCACGCGCTGAGGTCCATAAGAGTGTCGATGTCCTTTCACATTGGTGGCGGTCAGCGATGGGCGATGCGACACTGGCGTTTGCTGACTCTGTGAGCGGACCATGGCCGTCTGTCGAGAGGACCCAGGACCCGAGAAAGTAACCTTGTTGTCCTTCCGAGAATTGGTTCTGATCAAGCGCCGAGCTGTCTCAGGAGCTGCCGGGGAGGAAGCATGAGACAACTCGCGTGTCAGATCGACGGTCACTGGAGGTTCCGGAGTCTGCCATTTGTCAATCCAGGGACGGATGTCGGGAGGTGAAAGAGGAAACAGTGAGATCATGGAGTAAGGCGGGGAGAATAGAATGGGTAAGGACGAAGACACAAATGGGAGGCGGGAGCAGAAGACCAAGATGATTCACGTACGGTGACTCGTCGTTTCGGTGGAGGGAGACCAGAGCCAGGGAGAGTCCGAGGGGTATCCTGCCGCGTCCTTTTCCCAGACTTCTCCAAAGCAGCGCCGTCGTCTTCGGGTACGCCAGAACCGGGAACCGGGCGATAGCTGGAGGAGGCATCAAACGAGGATGCGGACGAAGAGGCCGTGGTGGTCATGAACTGACTTAACCGCTGACTCCAAAGTTGATTCCGTTCAGATTCCGGTAAGTGGGAGTGTCGAACCAAAAAAGCGTCCCGATACCCAGAGATAGCCCGTGTGAATAATTCGTCGTCAGCCATGGTGCCCGCCATAGTGGGTGGGGAGATCCTCTCTTTGCGTGACGCCTCTATCACGTGGGACAAAGGAGGGCTGCTATCAGTATCAAGTGGCTAGAGGGGATAGAAGGGGTCTTCTGCAGATGAGATGTTAGCAGGTTAGATTCACTGGATCAACTTGATAGTGGATGGTGGGACGGGTGTGACTGACGTTATGCTGTAAAAATGAGCGAAGAAAAGTTGTCGCTGGTCGGGGAGTTGGAGAAGCGCTGGCGGAGACGAATTCGCTGAAACGGTCCCAGGTAGTATGAAGGCGATAAGTAGGATAGGATAGAAATAAGAGAAAAGCACTGAGCACCCGCAGAAGGTACGAGGTAGATTGCAGAGGGGCAGGATTGTGAGTGAGAGGAAAAGGAGAAAAGGAGAATTGAGGAGAGGATAGTTGGGATATATGAAGAGGAGAAGGAGGGTGTGGGGGAAAATGTATGAGAAGCAAGATATATGCGACAAGGAGGATTGGCGATAACGATAAAGAAGGAGAAATCACAGAGAGAGGGGAGGTTATCGATTTAATAGACCATCTAACATCCCCACAGTTTGGGCCTAGACGAATGGGTCGGAAGAGAGGGTCTAGGATGAAACTAAGGTGAGGATTGGGAAAAGAAGCGATGGAAAGAAGATGTGAAAAGAGCAAGAGAGTTGAGAAGGAGAGAAGGACAGAGAGAGAGAAAGAGAGAGATAGCGCAAAAGATCCGTCAGAAGGGGAAGCAGTAAGTTGCAGGTTAGTTTGGGAGTTCCTCATCCATCAAGACGGTTGAAACTGGGCGGGGGTGAATTGAAGATGGAGGGCCGGATTGGAGGGCGCAACGAGGGTTCCAGACCCTCTTGGGGGAGGGCAAAAATCCCTAATCCTCTTTTTATTTTCCTGTGGGATTTATTCTGATGGAAATTCTTCTTTCGGGCACTGATCGTTATTTTGTTAAAAGCTTTTTGAAATGCGTCTCACCACTAATACCGTTCTAGAAGTTCGACTATCTCATTCAGATACTTGGATCATCTCAGGAGCTTATTCTTTGTGATCATCTTCTTCCCCCATACTTCATTCTACCCGCCCACAACATCAGAGAGGCAATTCCAAAATAAAGAATCAGAACCCAGTTATGCAATTTTAAATGAGACTCGGAGAAAGAGAGAAGAATAAATTAATTTTCTCTACGGCGATCAATATGAGAGCAAAGCAAAGGTAGACCGAATCAAGTGATACTAGTATGGAATCTCTACGGGATGAATGATGGTGATCAGAACACTAGTCCCAATCAGGCAATCCATCTTTTCCTTTGAAGTGGTGGCAGGTTTGCCCATATTCCGGCCATGGATGCTACGGAAAGGGGATGGTGACACGCTGACTGTTCAACAGAGCTCAAATTGGTCCGGGTATAAGACTGGATCAGGATTATTGCTGATGATGAGGAGGATTGGATGAATGGACGGACGGACGAACACGGTGTGTGCCCGAAAGTGAGGCGGCGAACCGGATGGTAGCAGCCTCCACCCGGACCAGCAGGACGATGGCTATGCTGGAGAGACTTGGATCAGTCATCCGAATGGCTAGTTAACTTAACAAGTTGGTTAAGTTAGCAGGAACTTCGTACGTACTCCCTAGTAAGTATTAGGTGCACTCATGTTCCGTCGAATGACTGAAATGAAAGTAAGTACTTCGGGGCGCAGTACCAAATACACCCGTCACCCGGTCTCCATTGAGGGTGGGACTCCCCTGCGTTGACCACTATTTTTGCCCGCGGAGGCGCCTACGGCGGTACATGGACAACCTTAGGCATTGACGTACCCAGTACTCCGTACTCCAGTGCTCTGTTCTGTTCGTACTCAAGCAAAGGAGTCAAGTTGCCAGGAAAGACCTGCTGTGCTGCCACGTCAATTCGCACTACACCCGTTTGGGCAACTACTGACACCTTTCCTTATTGGTAGTGTCCATTTAATCACAGGAAGTCTTTCAGTCTAGGTTCCTTGATGACTTGGGAGTCCCTCCATCTGTCTCGGTCGACCAAGGTGTTGTTCATAGGCCGTATCTATAGGATCAGGCAGTGTGTTGTGCCTCGCTGCCGGGGAAATCCACCCCCTCTTTGCGCCGTAGTCGGTCTTTGCTCCCCCAATGTCAGTGTCAGTGCCAGTGTCGGTTGGGGTGGTGGCACTTCAGCACAGATGACAACAGCCCACTCAGTCAGTATTCCTTTCTGGCGGAGCATCATCTGCTACTGCCGAGCACATGCCTCTATCTCAAGCGAGTTATGCCTTATCCTCCTGGAGACGCTACGTTCTCCTATCAGGTCGATCTTAGTGGCCGACTGGATCGAGCGTCGATTCATTTATTGCATGCTCTTCGGCTTCGTGACATCCCCCAAAAGTACGTTGTTGGCTGGCCACCAGGGTGTACAGTCTTCTGGGAAACTTCTCCGGAACGAGCCCGCGGTACCACACGGAGCACATCCAAGGTTGCCTCGGTGCTATCTACACATGGCCTTCTCCCTAGCTGGAATCGAAACGACCAGGCCTCTAGTCGTCACTCTCATTCCCGTCACTGAGAAGACTGTGGTCAGCCAGTGACGAAAAGACTCTTGTGAACTGTCTTCTTAAAACTTTTTTCTGTCATTTTCTTTTTCCCGGATCATCCTTGGGCGCCGTAACCGGCCGATCTCCAGACTATGGATCGATGACGGATGGGTAGTTTGAGGAGTGGGACGCGAGACGAATTGTGCCACCAATCCGCGGTCCGGACAGCAGGCACTCACCTGATGCCACGTGATCCAACCCAAGCGGTTTCTCCGCTATTGTACGGACTATCGATTGTAAGTTGTTATGGTGGGCGGTAGGCGGTGGACACTGGAGACCACCCTCTGATCTCTCTCTCTTTCTCCCTCTTCCCGGTGTGTTGGCGTTTCATCTCGCGCAGTAGCAGCACCACCACCACCATCAGCTCCTTCTTAGACTGGGTCCAGCTCTACGCTAGGGCACCACGTAGAACGAACAGCTCAAGACAGGAGACTGACGAGACAAACTGAATTTGCAAAGTTTGCTCCTGCTGCCGCTGATCGATCCTCAAACGCCCCTCCCCGCCGCCCGAAGCTTTTCACCGAGAAAAGTCCCCTATTGTTCTCCGTACGCCGTACTGCACATCCTCGGGACCTATTATTATCATGGACTGGGCGGCCAACCCACATTCTCAGCATCTAATCCGTTGTTTCATTGCCCACCGCCAACCCAGGAACCCACCACGAATGTCACCGCTGGTTACTCCGTACTGTAGTGTGTGCCTGTTTGGCGGTTGCGTTCCTGCGAATGGAAATTGCGGACGAATCAAGGAGGGGCAAATCGACAACTACTCCGTGTGTCTCCGTTACTCACTTGAATGGTTGTCCATGGGTTTAGGTGGTCCCAGATCTCCGGCACTTGTATAGTTTGACTTGTAACGGGCAACAGAAAGCAGTTACATCCCACTTTCATAACCCCTCACTCGCTCACTCACAACCTTTCAATTCGCACAATCTGTCGGTTGTTGTAAGCTGCTTGAGAACCTATTCTCTAGCTTGGGAAGAACCTGAGAAGAAGCCAATCAGCATGTAAGTAGCATGGCATTCTGAAGAACTTCTAATGAACCTTACCGCCGGGATTTATCCCCGTCACAATCGCACCGCCTTGTGCATAAATCACACATTGGAACTACCCCTTTCCCTCTCTGCTATCTGGTCGTCTCCAGTCAATCACGTAGAAGACTAAGGGGGGGGGGGGGGGGTGCAAAAAAAGGAGGGGCAACCCACGATGGACTATGTTTACACTTTACACAGTACGCAACAGCTAATGAGTATACTCCACACTTCTCTTCATGAATCGGGGTTGAAAAAGAACAGCATCGAAGCGGGGGGAGGGGTGGTGGGGGGTGGTCGTGTCCACTGTCTAGGGGGATATTCTGTCGAAGAACAAATCCCCTTTGGCTCACCCAGCAAATCTCTCAATCGAAACGGTTCCTGGATCCAGGAAGAGAGTAAATAGTATTTGTTAGTTGTTGACTCTCTCTAGCAATTGCAACACTTGTCTCAGCAACAGACAGGGCCAGAATCGATGAGATTTGTTGTGGCCGGGCACATTCTTCTGCCCGACGAACCTAGATAGATTGGAGGATAAGATACAGACAACTCGATGTTCTTCTTACCCCTGTACAAAGAGCTGGGAGTACCGCTCAAGCTGAATAGGAGGGGAGAGAGAATGGAAAAAGCATCGCACTGCTAATGAGTAAATATGTTACGTGGTTAGGAACAACAATGCCCCCGACAGAAATAGTGGTATACTTAGTAGGGAAAAAAAGAACTGATACTGTGTAGAAGATGACGCTATCTTGGCTGCAAAGAAAGAAAGCACTCCCATTCGCCAAGCTCCAAAGACGATCGGCGCCGCCAGGCGGGGCTCGCCAGACGCTTTTCGGTGCGATCGTCGATTTTTGCCCTGAAAGGGGGAGGGAGACAATTCCAGGATGAGAGAGAGGGGGGTGGACGATAGGCTGGGATAGGCCCTACACTTGGATTAGTGACTGTGGCTCGTTCACTAAGTATCGGTGTCTTCTATGCAGGAGGCACATCGCTACAGTAAGTAAATATATGGAAGCACGTAAGAAGGTTTCCGCTTGTCCTGGTTTCATGATGAAAGCTCTCATCATTCAAGGATGAGAGGTTGGTTTTAATTTTAGATCTAGAAAGCGGAATCATGGATGGAGGATTGTTTAACTGATTGATTGATCATTAATTATTCTGGCGGGGGGTCGTCTGATTGGAGACCCGAGTCGATTGTCTCCGGGGCTGTGCCCAGTTCTAGCTCAACAGTCATCACTAAAGTCTTCTGTCACAGTGTTCACTAATGAGGTTATGATTGCAACCTCCCCATGACAAGCATCTTGGTCAAATCTCTGTTCTTTCCCAATCTCTTCGCGTGCCCAAGCAAGAGGTGATGATGATGCCTTAATCTGTGATCCCTGCACGGGGGTATAGCCGGGATCAAGAAGCTCAGATCCAGAGCACGGGTTGCTTACAACCCGAAGCACAAGCCCTTTCAAGCTGAATAAGTACTGTACAGCACTTCAGATACCAACAACCAACTGGCTAGGTCGCAGATGCCTGAACTGGTGAGGTTGATCAACTGACAGATAGCCCTGTCGCTCAGTGCTGATTACCAAGCCAGGAAGGCCAAGCGACCACCACCTTCGTGGTGTGATGTGTGATGCGTGATGTGTGATGATGGCTTCCCAATAGATCTCCTTATACCCAACAAGAACACTCCCGCGGAGCCTGCCCGGACGGTTTTTTGAACCCTCATTCCAGAATAGCGCTTGGTCAGCCGTCCTGTCCCAGTTTCTTTCCACTGGCTTGGTCTGAATGGGTGCTATGACCGCTGCAGGTCACAGCGCCCAGAGCCTCTCTCCCTGTTCCTTCAATATTCATCACTGAAAGCTGCGATGACGCGGCTGGCCCGACGAAGCGACCTGAAGATAGTGCTTCAGCGCCTAGGAAAACTCTGTCAAGCCTTTGCGCCCCGACGAGAGGATGAACTGCGCGGGGTTTGATCGCATATTCCGTGGGTTGGCTAACTTATGTCCTATCTGCGCATATGTGAAACGCCGCTTCGGCACTCACAGACCCGCAACATCATTTGTCGCCGTGCTGGCCACATAGGCAACTTCGTTGTCGGGGGCGATCGATAGGAGGCTGGTGAACGGCACTGCCAGTTATTACCTTTGGTTGTTTCCCGAGCTATTTTGGGACGCTTCCTTGGTACTTCGAATCTTCAGCTTTCACTGGACAGGCGATCTGAGCACACAAGTGGTATTTCGTGCTCGACTTGGGGTGCGACAAGGACATCCGATCAGCACGTCTCGAGCTGTAGGTGCCATTTGCGGGCAAACAAGTCCCTCTGTCTCATGAAGTCTGCGATAACCGCAAATCATTCCGATTGCCTGAGAAAGACTTTAATGTCCTGACACTGTGGATGATCAGTACCAGACGGGCTGTTAATCGAATTTCAGATGGCACTGGGCCAGTACCACTTAGCCACAGATATGCATCAACGACAGAGGAATATAGCGAGCCCTGGGGTATGTTGCTGATGCCAGTCCTTGAAAGGCCATGTTGGCCTATTATGGGGGCACACTGCGATCAACGACCACGGTTCACAGTCTTCGGATTACATTTATAAGTATTCAACTTAAGCCATGCCAATTGAACAGATGCTCGTGGGAAATCAAAGTCCTGTTGCTCACAAACCCACCTTCGAAGTCGATTTCTAAATTGGACCCTCTAGTGGTTCGAAGACTGAGAGGCAAGTTGGCGAGATTCCTTAGCGGTGAGCGTCGCATCTTCTGAGCCCCTGTGAGACATGACACTACATGACCCGCCACCATCAGTCATGTGGGTAACACAGAGCCTATAATCCCCGACTCCCTTTACACATGCAACATTAATCCTCAAGGATGGAGTGTCACGCTCCATCTACAGGGGCGAGGTTTGGTAGCGACCGGCAGTCTTTCGCGACTCTAGGCCAGGCCGAACAAGAATGAATACTTTTACCTCTAAGTCTGCGAATTGTTGACCCAAGACTACACAGTACAGTGCTTTGCTTTTGCCCACCGCTACTTAGCATTGATGCGTGCGTTTATAGTGAACTTGTGCAAGGGGCGTGGAGCACCCGAGTCTGTTAATGGAACAGACTCAGTATACTAACGGAGTATCTGCACGGTGAGGGCCCATTAGAGATTTATTGAAGCAGTAACTGGATATGAAGTCATGCGGAACCAAGGCGCGCACAATCAGTGACCAGAGAGCAGCCAATGGGGCTGTATGACATCAAAGGCAAAGTCTCTGGCATAATGGGACGTCTTCTTGCACGATGGGCAGCAATCGTTGATTCTGATGTATCAGACATATCGAAGTGTGAATTGGCAGTGAAGCCGGATGACGATTGAGAAAAGTATATAGGTCAAGCGAGAACCCTCAACGCAGCGCTGCGACCACAAGACTGGCTCCAACGAGTCAGTAATCATCGAAGCGATTGATGGGCGTTGTTCCGATGGCGGTCCGGACGGCAATCGGACTGACGTCAGCTTGCCACTGCACCATGACAGATCCCCCACAATCAGCCAAGCTTACCTGCGCGGGTTGCAGAGGAGCAAACGCCCATAGTACTGGTTACAGTAGATTTATATATAGCTGACAGGGTATCCCTTACCTCTGCTTCACTTTCCTAATCCTTTCTGGTGCTTTCTCTATTCTAATTTAGATGAAATAGTGTGATCGATCGGTCAACTAGTCGGTGGTCACGCAACGATTAGTGCAATCTATTCTTTTTCAGTCTCAATCTTAATTGCTCCGCAATCCATTGGGACTTCTCGAAGCGATATTCGAAAAAGGGGCCTACGTCTCCAAAAAGGGTGAATGAGCGAAAGACACCACGTGATCCTGGTAAAGGGGCGAGTTTGAGCGACGTCATAGCAATAAAATCATTCAGTTTGTACAGCGGCAGCGGTCAAAAGAGGAACCATTTTTTGTGTTTGTTGGAGTAAAGGGGAAGAAAGACAAAAGGGAAGAAAAAAAAGGGAAAGCGGAGACACTCCAGCCCAGAAGCGGAAACCGGGCAAAGCAACCGACCATCCCCATCCTCATCATCATCTTTCTTCCTGCTCCTACGCAACTTGGTCTTCAATCATACACCACCATCCCTCTGTGCAGTTCTATTCTTTCAATACGCATACCTCAAAACAACCTTCTCGACTTGCTTTTACGTCTCTTCCCACCATGTTCGAAGACTCAGATAACAACCTATACCTCTTCACCTCCCTTACTGCGGGGTCATCCCACATCGTCACCGCAACGGCGACTCTGGAGAGAATCCTCAAGGCGAACAAGCTGCCTTTCCTGGCCATCGACGTCGCAACCAACGATGTCGCTCGCAAGCTCTGGGGTCGTCGCGCCAAGGGCAAGAAGCTGCCGGGTCTAGTGAAATTTGGCACCGTGATTGGGGTATGTACCCCGCATATAGTGTAGCTTCTGGCCACCTTCCCCTCTTCCCCAAAGGGACCATGCGATTGCCTACCTTCCTACTTTTCCTTTCAGGTATATGCACACACTGGAAGTCTAATCACACTCTCAATATTAGGATCTTGAAGAGGTCGAAGACTGGAACGAATATGGCGAGCTTCGCATGCAAATCAACAGCGTGCAACCCATGGACAGCATCTTCTCCTCAAGCGCGGTCGCGCAATCCGAATCTTCGACCCCCGCCGTTTCTACCCCTACCACTGAAACTCCGCCCGTGAAACAAAGCACTATCAAGATTCAGAGCCCCCCTGCTAAGGAGACCCCGAAGGATGAAGCTGCCGCCGCTGCCATGCGCCTGGCCAGCGAGGAAGCTGCCGCCAAGGCGAAAGGGCAATCCACGAACGGCGACGCGAAGAACATCCCCACCACCACAATTACGAATACTGTGCCGGCAGCGACTGAGTCGAAGCCGGTAGAGCCCGCTGCGACGACTGTGAATGCTCCTGTTGAGACGCAAGATATCGCACCTGGGGCTATGGACATTCCCGCTTCTCAGGAGTCTCGCCCGAAGCGGCCCCCTTTGTTGGTCCCTGAGATCGCCGCGGAGTCGTCTGCCAACATTCGTGCAGACGCTGCGGTAGTCGAACACCATCGGGGATCTATTGTCTCGGCCACCTCCCCTGAGGAGCAGGCCAAGGTGGCCCACGATTTGCGTAAGTCTATCTCCGGTGGTCACCAGGAGCTTCTGAACTCGCTGCGCGAAGATGTTGCGGCCGGAGCCAACCAGGAGGAAACGATCGAGGAGGAGCCGCTCGGCGAAGAGAAGGAGGAGAAGGCAGAGGCGGCGGCGGCGGACGTTGGCAAAGACGGCCACTAGACTCAGGCAGGCTTTCATTGTGGTTTCTGTCGCAGGACGATAGCATTCAGCTCTCTCTCGCCTTTGTGTATGTGTGCGCGTCACCGACGCATGACATTATGGCGTGATTCTTTCTACATTCCATGTACAGATACCAGATTTTATTTCTTTATTTCTGCTTTGCTCCTTTGCTCATTCAGAGACTGTATGCTTGACTCTTGTCAATCGGTATTCCCGAAGAATTGCAAATAGCTCTTAGCTGCAAAACCAACCCGACTTCTTGCATCCAAACCTTTATCTTCGCAAATCTACAACATACTGAGTGGGGTACTAAAACCGAGCGAAAGCGCAACCGATAGAAAAGAAATTAGACATCAACCACATGAAGTAGAGAGAATGCTCATGGTATATTCACGCAGACAAACATACACACAATGTACATTAACCAAAGGAAGAGGTATATTCTGGGATTGACAGGGGGGCTTTACTCTTCTTTCCGGTACTTGTTCACCGCCTGGCGCAGCTTCTCGATCACGTCGGCCGGGTCCTGGGCGCCAAAGACCGCCGACCCCGCGACGATGACGTTGGCGCCCGCCTCGGCCGCCTGGTCGATCGTGCCAACCCCCAGACCACCGTCGACCTCGATGTTGAGGTCCGGGTAGCGCTCGCGGAGCGCCTTGACCTTGGGAAGCTCGGAGGCCATGAACTTTTGACCACCGAAGCCAGGGTGTACTGTCATTACGAGGACCATCTATTTTGTTTGATTGTTAGTTTTTCGTCCGGCTTGGGAGGGCGGGGAGGGGATGATGTGGATTTGGGGCATTGATATGGTGGTCAGGTTATGGAGTATGGTTTAGGAAAAGGGTTGTCGTTTGTCGGTGTTGAGGGGGCAGAAGGGGCAGAAGGGGCAGAGCAAACGCACGTCCGGCTTCTCCTTCGCATCCTCACTCTCCAGAATCTCCCACAGCACATCAACGGGGGTATCAGGCTTGATGGCGATACCGGCCTGCATGCCTTGCTCGTGGATGTAGCGGATCAGCTCCTTGGGGGAGGTGTGGCGCGTGGTGGTCGTGTCGGCGGGCTCGGTGGCCGCGACGGAGGCGACGGCGGCTTCGTAGTGGAAGCAGTAGAGGTCGCAGCCGGCTTTTTTGAACTCTTTCACCCATTTGTGCGGCTTGTAGCTCGTTAGTTATGGTAAATCGATTGTTTTTGGTGGATGACCCGGGGAGGTTCATTCACCTCTTTGATCATCATGTGGCAGTCAAAGGTGCCCTTGCCGTGGGCTTCCGTGGGACGGGCGACATGGGATCGGATCGCAGACACGACAGGAGCGCCAAAGGTGATGTTGGGGACGAAGTGGCCGTCCATGATGTCGACGTGCAGCCAATCGGCGCCCTGGGCGATCTTGGTCGAGCATTCGCTGCCCAGGGTGCCGAAGTCGGCGCTCAGGATGGAGGGGGCGATGATCGCGGGAGGACACATTGTGGGTTTTGAGTGATTAGACGGTAAGTGAAGAGGTTCAATTGGGCGTCGTGATTGGGGTAAAGGGATGGAGGTGGGTTAAGAAGAGGTGGAAGAAATCGTACGGTATACAAGGAGAGGGAGGGAGGGGGAAAGAGGATGAGGGGAGGTGGGGGAAAGAGGGGCTAGGGTTGAATATAGTTCTCTGCGAGCTAGACGCGATCAGGGCGGATTTAGTTAGATTTCTTGACATATAACAGGATGATTACTAGCGGTCAGTTGATCCAGCCGGGACATCTATCGGCCTCTGGTGAGAAAGACGAATGGCTGTTGTGCTGTGTAGAAACAACCAGCTCCATCCGGGCAAAAATTGTTGGCGGTCGTTGATATCATCTTTCCCTGCTCCGGTCGACGTCAGTCCGGGATGCCGCCTTGGGAAGTGATGCCAAACCGATAAGGGCTAGGGCGGGAAAAGACACGTGGCTGGCCTGATTGCCTGAATTCCAGGGACTCACCTGTCAGGCACCGAAATGGGAAAGGTGACGCCGGATCACTCCGCTTAGGATCGAACTGCTCCGCTCCGTACATCCTCGCCCAAGCCAACTGCCATTTCGTCATTTGCATTTTCCTTCCATCCCTCAGTCAATTGTGCTGGTCGGGTGACTCCTCAGCGCTTCGGCTCTATTGTGCGAGCTGGCTCATTCCTTTCCTTGTTCCTCTCGTCTGAGTGGAGATGTCATGCTATCAATGGATCCATCCATTGTGCGGTCGACGGTTGGGACGGCTGAGTCTCCTCCAGGGCGTCAAATTTAGTGTTATCACCCCCAGCCACGTCGACGCTCAGTGACTTGAAGTATCCTTCACTTCCTTGAAGTCTTGGACAGTATCACGAGTTCATCGATTGCGGGTCTGCAGAAGACACTGATCGCCTCGAGCGAACTCCCACTATCACCATCCATGAACCGGGGCCTCCTTTCTAAAGATAGCCTCCGCGGGCGCTTACAACCGGCCAATCAAGCACATCTCCCCTCACAAACCCCGAGCTCCTGTTCGTTGACAGTCTTTTTGTGCAGGCTCCAAGAACCTCTTTGAATCTAATTGGTACAGTGAGCACCCAGACCTTCTGCTGTCGCCCATCAGAAGTGGTTGTCCACTGGGATTTGTCCTTACTGAAGCGCCCACGCCATCAGCACCAATGATAGTATCTTCAGGCTCCTTACCTGCAGGGATTCCGGGTGCCTATGTGCACAATATTGCAGTAGTTCCTGCATTTTGGGTGCTAGGCGTGAAGGCCATCGCGCCCGATCTCTTGCTTCCCCTCCTTTTGCTGGCTATTTATCATCGTCCTGCGCTACCGATCGAAGATGGTGATCTTCACCTAACCTCTTCCCGTCTCTTTGGCTATAGCTTCTTTTCTTTTTGTTCTTCTTTTGTGCATCGTTTGGTTGTGCCTTCAGCTCTGGAAGCTAGGCCCTCAATCGTTCCTATCATTTATCAAGTACTCGTCGACCTGTCGATCGGTGTCGAATGCAGCAGGCTTACCCATACAAGGCTCTTTTGGAGTTGACGGTCTGATTTTAACCTTGATTCTGACTTGCACCTCTTACTGTAATTGATCCATTAGCGAATTTACGAGCATACCTCACGGCTTGAGCATTATGGCAGACGTGCAGTACTCTACGGGCTCAAGCTGCCCACCCCCAAGGCAGGTCCGGGGGACGCGACTCGATACTATACCAGAGGACTCGCGTGAGACACAATATTCGGAACAAAACGAGGGGCTTGCACTCAATACTGCAAAATCAGTAACAATTCCCCGGTTGAAGCTGAAAACTAGCGGTCTCTCACTGGGATTCATGAGGCCTAATAAATTCTTCTCGCCGATATCTGCCGGCACAATGTCATCCTGCTCGGACACCGAGTGGCAGCAGCAGATGAAGCCATTTGAAGACCTCTACGATGCCACAGATGAGGAATCGGTCACGAGTGACGACTGTACCTCATTTGCCAGCACCCGACCGACAAGTTTGACGACTCCGACGACGCGAAATTCCATGCTGTCTCCAATCTCTCGTAAACGCTATCCAAGCTTGACAATCCCGTCTTCAACAGCGTGGCCGTCATTACAGGGTGCGTGTAAGAGCTCCCCGGTTCCCCCGACACCACCCTCCAAGATACCAGTTTCCCCAGCAGCTCTGTCATTGCTCGCGCGTTCTGTTCCTGCCGTTCATGCCCCACCCTCTTTGGATGGAAGTTTATCCTCGGATCAAATATCAAATCTGAGCGCGCCGGCTACTCCAGACCTACAGTCACTCCCTGATCATGACTGGCCCGCGCCAGATATTCATGTTCGGCAAGATTTGGAGGATGTAGAAGACGTCGGCATCCCCGCGCTCGATGCAGACCCGGATGTACAAAGCATCGAGATTGCCTACGATGGTGCGAGCGAGGACTTGGCCCAGGTTCTAGGAAGATTTCCTCGCATCCCGGGTCAAGTGACGCCGCCTGCCTTCGACGCGGAACCCAATTTGGTCCGGGGAGATACGCCATCGGACACAGGAGTACATCTCTCAGAAGATGCTCTTGAGACTTTAAGACACTTGTCTCTGAACAGGGTTTCAGATCCTTGGTCTGAAGCCTCTGACAGCAACGACGAGATGTGGCAAGTCGAGACACCACCCCAACGCCCACGTAGCGCCGAAGGTGCAACTCCTGCGTCCGAACTCTCTGGCTATAGCTTCAGCAGGCTAAGTATTCCATCTCCGGGTGGCTTCTTTGCTTCGTTGGCCCCGCGCGCCCGTCATACCTGGGCAATTCCGACTGGAAACAAGCCGCCCAATTCCGCCACTGCTGAAAGGTTCTACAAGCTACCCTTTTCCCGCGCAGAGGGAGAGATTGTCGAGCATATCATCGATTATCCAGAAAGATCCATGGACGAGGAGCTGACAGCTTTGTACGATCCAAGCGGACCACCAACTGCCATAAGAATCCCCGCGGAGAATATCGCTGAGCCTCTGGAGCCCTTGAAGAGCCCCGTGAGCACAGCTGTGGACAAGGTGGATTACGCTCCAATTCCCCCAGCAGTGTTAGATCAAGTTGAGCGAGACGAGGACTATGAGGCCGAGCTTAGGAAGAAGGCAATGTCAGGACTGGATAGGACCAGTGTTTGGTTGGCTGCTCAGGCTTCTTACCTAGCAGCATTGAATGAGACAAACCCCGCCAACACCATTGACACGGAAAGTGCCAGCGAGGTTGAAGCTCCTCAGAAGACCAACCAGCAAACTCCAAGCACGCTTGTGCGCAAGAAGTCGGTCAAATTCACTGGTGTTCTTCCAGCTGCCCCAAGCGCACAACCTTCTACTTCTGCAAGCAAAGATTCAATATACTGGAGAGGGTTCCAAGCTCTGCGCGATCAATCGAGCATCAGGGATACTCATGTACATCAGCATGCTCGCTTCGATGCCATACAATCTGTTCGTGTCGGCTTGAGTAACTTGCACATCGACTGCTTGGTGGGGAAGTACGAGTTGATTCCGACACAACGTCCTGCATACAAGGGGCCCTTCTCAATGGCGCCTCGCAATTCAACGCTCGACTCGGCTCGTGTGCAAAAGGCTCAGTTCTCCATAGTTGAGAAAGAGCAGCTCGTGCTGGCGCAGATTCGTCAGGCCATGTGGGCGATGGATGCACTAAGGTTTCTCAATGGCGGTCGCATGCTTATCAGCCCTGCCACGAAGAAGCTTCGTGGCTCTAACCGATCGCCGAACTCAACGACAAAGGCAGGCCAAAGCAGTTTCCGCGTCTTGGATCTTGGAGGGCACGCATCCTGCGAGTGGGCATGGCAATTCGCTTATGACTATCCCGATGCTAAAGTCACAACGGTTCTAATCAAAGGTCAAGAGATCAATCTTGGCATCAAAGGACCTTCCAATGCCCGACAAGTCTTTGTTTCACAACCGTGGAAGCTCCCTTTTCCAGACAACAAGTTCGACGTAATTTCAGCTCGATCTCTCCCAGCTTTGCTGAGAAACGAATATCCAATCGGCGAACTTGTCGACGAGTATGATCTGTGCCTGAAAGAATGTCGTCGCTGTCTTAAGCCTGGTGGCTTTCTGGAATTCTTCATTCTAGATGCTGAGATCTCACGCGCAGGTCCTCAGGGATCGGCTATATCAACAAGTTTCGCAGCCAATCTCAAGGCCCAAGGCTATGATCCAATGCCCACCAAAAGCTTCCTTGGGCGCTTGCAAAAAAACTTTACAGACATCAAGCGTGCATGGACGTTCCTACCCATGGGAATTGAGCCCACCAAAACCGAACCACCGAGGGAAACACCCGACCCGAGAGTCAAGAGCCTTGCGGGAGATTGCGAAGCGATACAAGGACCCGTTGGTAGTACTGCCGACATCGCTAGCATAACCGGGGTGCTAGGTGGATGGCATTGGGAGCAGTGGTATGTCAAGCTGCAGCAGGAGATTGGAGTCGATCGGGAGAATATGCTTGCAAGAGTAGGCGCTGTGTTCGACGAGGGCCGTAAGAACGGCGCAGGTTGGACCTGTTTATCCGGATGGGCTATGAAACCACGGCGCCAGAGAAGGCGCGGCGATCAGCCGAAGGGCAAGGGGCTGAGGAGCCCTTGTTTGTGATTGTTTTCTTTTGTCTTGGATATCGACCCAGGAGGTCTATCCGTCCATCATGATACCCCCCTACCCGCCCTGGTTGGCGATGCTTAATATACTAATCGCGTATCGCTGGATCCTTCACGTCAGTGAGGGCTTCCATGCGTGCTTTATATGTATGACGTGTTGATGGGTCAACGTGGGAAGAAATGTTTGGGTATGGAGATTACTTTGGATTCTAGCGCGGTCTTGATAGCAAATAGTCACACTGACAGGGAAGCAATGGTCAATTTAACAATAAAATAACCTCTTTGGAGGTCTATGTTTCGGTCGGACCAAAGTTATGATACCGACGTATAAAGTGTGTAGAAACGAGTAGTACAGAAAAGTACTGCGGCACTCCTCAAATTCAGCGTATGCAATGGCCTTCCCGGAGGATTGGAGTCACTCATATAGTGCCTGTGTTGGATTATCAGGAGATGATGTGTACTGTTTTCCAGCACTCGTAAAGCAGTCATCCCAAAGATGTTCGTGCAGTCAGCGCGATGTACGATCCAGTAGAGATGAGGGGCAATACAAGTAGATGGGTTTCTTGAACATTGCTTACAGTCAATATTCGTATCCAAGCCCGGATGGTCTAGTGGTATGATTCGCGCTTCGGGGTATATACCAGAATATGCGCGAGGTCCCGCGTTCGAATCGCGGTTCGGGCCCATTATCCTTTTACCGATCTGGTTATCGGATACCGGGTCCGTCGATCAATTTTGTTTTCCCTTGGAATCTCTTGTCTGTATCTCGACCCGCTCTCTCATTTTTCTTTCTCCTTCTGTATCTAATTTTATTGACTCTGGATGCCGTTGGTCTGCGACACACCTGCGACCATGTCACTCGAATAGGGCAATGCGTTTATATGATCAGTTACACATTTGTACTACCTAGCGCCGGCCGCTTCCTACATCTTAATAGGACTGGAGAAGCGTATGCACATTTCCCTCTCGACGCTAGTTATGCACATCCATACATGCACCGCCTCCATATCATCTCATTGTCCGAATGGTTCACGAATTCATACTCAACACTACAAGGTTTAATTGACTCGCCCAATTCCGCGGTTCCTACCCATTGTGGGTGATCTGGTGAACGGAAAAATCTGCACCAGCAAGTCTGTACATACACCCAGAGTACGTGGCTAAATTCTGTACCACATCATATTGTAAACCCTCTACCTCATGACATCATTACCGCCCGGATGGTCTAGTGGTATGATTCGCGCTTCGGGTATCCAGGTGTTTCTTGTTCAAAACAATTCCATCTGACAAGCCAGAATATGCGCGAGGTCCCGCGTTCGAATCGCGGTTCGGGCCCAATTTTACTTTTATATTTCTGTTTTATGGCTCTTTTTGCCCTCCTAACCACGCCCACCTTGCAGCTGTTACTTGCTACGAATTCCACCATCCATGTTTATCAAATGCACTTGTGAACTTCCTAGTTTGACTTTGCCAGGCATGCGGCAAGCCCCACATGTGCGTTACGCCTGTCAGCTCAAGTGCAGCCTGTCTTTCGCGGCCCAAGTTGTCAGCTTCCGGCCTCACTAGTAATCTATCTGTATGTCCTGAAGGAAGGCTGTGTGACTGAAGAAGAAGAAGGCAATGGGTCCGGGAACTGGAGCGTTACTAGGTAGGGTTCATCAACAATGGACAACTAGTGAGACATTGGCTTCACACCCTTTTTTCACATATGTACTCCTAGGTAGGCCGTGCTCCCAAATTGACGGGGAAATGGTTCGTGCCCTGCAAGCAAGACGGTTGTTATGGAAGTTTCCGAAGGCGCTACTGATGATTCGTGCTTGAACCAGCCATTGGGCGTACATGACATGTTTGAGATGAGCTTCTATCATTAGCGCCAGGTTACCTCAAGTTGGTTTGGAGAATAGATACGCCGCTGTGTATCACTTTGTGCTTGTGAACCTGCCATGTAACCCCTTATAGAGGGGTACAGCAGAATGCAAATCTCTCATATATACCTGCCATGGCTTCTCTTGAGCCTGAATAGACGGGGATAACACCTCGAATTGATCGTCCAAGAGTTCCGGCTCAAATAATTGGACCCTTCCCGATGTTTATGGCGATGAATTTCCTTGTGCCTGCAGTACTGGTCCTTGGAGCTTGGGGTTTCCGGGCCGAGACCGGCGGGCTATTGGAAGATGTTCTGGTAGGTTGGATCTGTGCCAGGGAGTATTGCTTGTCCACTAATCTGACCAAAGCCTGCTTACAGACCCAACCTCTGCCCATGATCCAGGACCTTGCAACTTCCAATAGCCTCGTCCCTAACATATCAAACTCATGGTGGTCGTCCTCCTACGTTCATGCGTCCAATGGCCATGACTATCTCATTGTTTCCCATTGTATACTATTGAACGGTGGCTTGTACCGGGGCTCCATCTTGGACATCACCGACCCGAGCTACTATCATCAATTTGGGCAATCTGCAATCCCTCCTTCTGCTGACCCTGGCAAGAACGGGGGCATCTTCAATGTCACCTTTGACCACTACGGCTTCCACACGGTCAATGATGCCTCTCCACTTCAGGAGCTGCGTACCTGGAGCACAGTCAGAGGGGTGGAGTTCGACATCCAGTTCCAACTCTCCACTCCACTAATCCTCAACGCCGGCACCGGCTTGTTTCAATGGGGCTCTGAGCTGACCCACGAATGGTCCATGCCAGCGGGCCTCACGTCAGGCAGCTTCGTCGCCAACGGGTCTCGTCTGACCGTCGATCCTGCGCGGTCCTTAACCTGGTACGACCGACAGCTCATGTGGCCGAACGGACTCGCCAAAGCGGCCGACAAAGCCAATTGGACGTGGTTCGAGCTGCACCTCGACAACGCGCCGTACGGCGGCGCTGAGAAGCTTTCAATCTGGGCATGGGATACCAGAGACCATCGACGCACTCAGTTCGCTACCGTCCGCCGCGAGCCGGGCGCTCACCACGTCTTGCCTGTCACTGCGTTCGCTCCGTCCCAGCGAACCTGGACTTCATCGGTCTCGAATGCGACCTACGCCCTCGACTGGGTGGTGACGCTCTGGGATCGAACGACGCTCTCGATCTCAAGCGTGCGGCCCGATCAGGAGCTTTGCGATACGATGGGCCTTTCGCCGACGTATGAAGGTTTTGTCAGGGTCAATGGTTGGGATGGAGACGGTCGGATGGTCTCTGGGTATGGATTGGTTGAGCAGGTCCCGGTGGAGACTTTTCCGTCCATGACGCCGTCAGGCTCTGAAGGATGATAGCGTAGTGCTTTCCTCCTATATGAACTTGTTGTATGCACCAGTTGTGCAACGATGGATTGGTGGCCGCCTGAAGCAAAGGGCAAGATTGTTTTGTTGTGAGTTATCGGACATGCGAAGTATTGGTATTCATGCTCCACATTGCCCTATTGGCCTATGTCTAACACTGACTTGAAAGTCAATATCTCAAGGTTGTTCTGATTATATATAAGCTTAGTGTGTGCAACTACATCCATGATATAGGTAGGTAACCACAATAAGTCATCAGTCAGCGCTGTAGTCGGAGACAGTTAGTCGGCTCTCTGCAGAATGCATGTCCTGGGATCACCGCTCACGTCGCCATGCACATCAGTCACATTCACAACTGCAGGTCTTCTTTAACGAGATGGCATGGCCTGTAAGATTACTACCGGTAGTTATGTACTGTCCAATACCATGCATACAGCTTGTGGTTGCTGATGATCTCTCACTATCTCCATCTTCAACTCTCCACCGGACCATTCCCACAGCTCGCAGGATGTCAAATGCTTAATATGGATGAGGATTCGGTGGTTGACTAGGCCGCCGGAGAAAAGCCCTAGAGGATGAGGAGATTCTGGAGGAGAGGAATATAGGCACGGGCCGCTGCAGCCTGCCATTTGCGGACAAGAATACTACAGTAATAGTACTATAATACGTTGTACTCCGTAGTCCATACTGATAAGGAACACTATGAATCCTGGGATAGTGCGACCATTCACCCACGATGCCTGGATAAAAACCAGAACTATAGATTCACATTGACTGGTGGACGGGAATTACTGCTCGCCAGGGGTCAAGAACAGTAATTTTAATTTTATAGTACGCCCTCGTCCTGGTTTATCAAGATAGTGGCTCGTGGCCATGGGCGGTGGCAAGGGGGAACCGCTAATAGTGCATTAAGGAGTACCAAGAAGAGGGCTACTTTATCCTGTACGAAGTTAAACGGGATATGCTATTCTTGTTCAATGGTTGGGGAGAGCGCCATGTGGTACATGCGCAAGGATAGCAAAGGATGAGTTAAACCCTGACTTGGCACCGAGTGTATATACCATGATTTCGTCATGGAAAAATGTGGAAATAGTTATTGCATCAAAGATCAATCTGGGGGACATGGATAGTTAGTGGTTATGGATAAGATGTGTCACACTGTCAATAGTTGACAAACTAACTACTCCGTACGACTGGTTGTTTATTAACAAATGAGTCAGCAATCAGATAGCGCCCTCCTCACGTGTTGACTTTGATAATCGCAGCAACACCAGTCAGTACCTCCGGACAAGACTTAGTTATACAATTAGTTCATACCTCTCATTCTCTCTTTTCCCCACTCGCAGCTCCCCGAAGAGCTTGATCTTGATTTTTTGCTTTTCCTCAATCAGACGCGACCACTACCCGAATGCTGAATTGACCTCCCCAACAAAACCCACCATCAACACCACCCCTCATCCTCCTCCCCCGATACACCCACGCAGACAAGCTACTCAACCGCAATCATGCTCTTCTTCAGGTATGTAACGCACCCTTCGCGACGGCGCCACCACCACCACCCCCACTCACCCCCTGCCGGTTCTTTATTTCAAGATGCAACCACTAAACTTGAGAACCCATACCCTAGTTTCTTCAAAACCCTCACCAACCAGACCGTCACCATCGAGTTGAAGAACGACATCCGCATCCGCGGCACCCTCAAGTCCGTCGACCAATACCTGAACATCAAGCTCGACAACGTTGACGTCCTCGACCTGGACAAATACCCGCACCTGTCGTCCGTCAAGAACATGTTTATCCGTGGTAGTGTGGTGCGCTACGTGATGCTGCCCCGGTCGGAGGTGGATATTGGGCTGTTGGAGGATGCGACGAGGCGGGGTGAGTTCATTTTTTTTTCCCTTGTTCTGCTCTATGCGCGGGGACCTGGCGGGTTCTGGGGTATACTTGGTGGTGGTGGTGGTGAATTGGGGGAAGGCGGGCAATATGGTTGAGTTCTAGGGGATTCGAATCGTTACGCTAACTTTTTCTTCCCTCGGTATAGAAGCTGCGAACCAGGCTGGGAAGGCGAAATAAGTATGCACGCGGAGAAATTGTGGACGATTTGCAGCGACCTTGAGAGTGTTGATATTGCAAGAGATATCTGGGTCGGGATTGGTTTCAGTGAGGGAAGCAACCCCTGGGTTTTATGCTTCGGCTCTTTCGAAGGGGAATCTTATGTCATGGCATGTTCTACTTTTTTTTTCTACGCTTTTCTTATAATTTATCATGATGTCATGCTGCATTTTCTTATCGGAGGGTGCTTATATGTTTAGGACATGACATGCTGGCTGAGGTGGAGGTGACGGGGGTTTTGGGCTCGGAACGTCCGAGGGTTGGAAGGTGGTAGAAAATCGTGATGGTATTTTTACAGAGAAAGAGGCAATGCGAATTGACATGGTAAAGGTGATAGGAACGGAAAGTCAAGTCGACTTTCCTCCTTGAAGTGGCATTTTCTCACCCCTCGGAGAACGAGCAACTACGCCTGAAGCGAGGCTGCTGGCATGGGATAGGTACTATCAGTGGATAACCACGTTGAACCCGTTCTTGCAGGCTGCTCAAGCTACGCCTTAGACGCAGATATTGATTGTCGACCGAGGGAGGGCCTGAGGGTCGAAACTGCTGCGGCATAACCGAGTCCTTTTGGCTCGAATAGTGCCCCAGTCGAGAACAAACTGTCCAGATCATGTTTCTACTTCGACTTGGCCTGGTATCGCTCGATTCGAGAAGTTAATACCAACGTCCAATTGAGTCGAAATGAGCGCAGCACTTGCCGTAGATAAATGATGCTTTTAAAAATCAGGTGGCTCTACTGAAGATTGGTATGCAGTATCAAGTACTAAGCATCATGATATATGTGGCCACGCCTAACGGACTCATTGCTGAACAATTACCCCGCATTGCTGCTTGATTTACTGACGTTTGTACATTCAAACAGCCGTAGCATTGCTTTCAATATTCATTAATAATTGCAGATTTCAAAATTCATCTTAAGCTCAGACTCGACTTGCGTCCAACTGGATTGACATCATCGACACAATCGGATCTTAATAGATACAAAGCACGTGACTTCGTGTCGCGCAAATCGGCGAGGTCGAGGTTCCGCCGCGCCGCGCCTCCATCTTCCGCTTTTCGTCATTTCATCGACTCGCAAGATATAGTGCAAAATATCTTTTTCAATAATCGCCTGATATCTTTCCTCAGATACTTGAAATATATGAACATGCTAATCGACACATCAATACATCAATAACCGCACCACAATTCCTGCGCCCCCCCCCCCCCCCCCCCACCGATACTCCCTCCCACGTTCCGAGGCCCTCTACAGAAAAAGAAGCAATGGCAGGATCCACCGCTAGAAAGGGCTCAACACCAGCCAAGGTTCCCTTCGGCGCCAAATCCCAGACTCCGGCGAAGCGCAACGGCAGCCTGCTGAATTTCTTTCAGAAAGCCGACGGCCCTCCCAAAGCCACCTCCACTCAGCCTCGGATCACCCAGTTTGCCACCAAGACTGCACGACCGTCTGCCGGCAATGGCGTCCGCAAAAACAGCAGCAGCAGCCAAAAAACACCGACTTTGCGCCGACAAGGGAGCTCCACCGCCAGCAATGGCGCAGGAGATCTGTTTCTGGAGGACAAGAAAAGGAATGTGTCGGCTGGCTACGCAGCTCCGGAGCCGGAGCGGGCAGTACGATCAAAAACGCCGGACGATATTTGGGAAGGTGAGCTGGAAGACACACCAGCGCCCGCCCTGGATGCCGAACGCCTCAACGAGAATGAGTTGGCCGTGTCCAAGAAACGCAAGCTAGAGGCACCGACCGCCGGCGATGGTACCTCACCACAGGCGAAGTCGTCGTCTGGATCCGACGCTGCACCAGCGGCTTTCGCGAAGAAAACTCGCCTTCTTAGTGGGCCTTTTATCGATGAATCCGATAGCGAGGAGGAGGAAGATCTGGAGAGGTTTCGCGCCGCGGAAAAGGAATCAGCTATTGCTCCTGATCACCCGATCGGCGCCCCCGCTTTCGCCAGCTCCGCAGAGTCGCCCGTCGGTGCTGAGGAAGCAAGCCGAAATGGTCAAAAACCGACGACGCCAGCTGTCGACACGTCACCATCCTTGGTAAGAAATGCTACGAATTACACCGAACCTGATGAATATACGAATTTTGACGATCTGGAAGACGAGTTCCGAGGGGAAGAGAATTTCTTAGATGCCTTTGATGATGACGATGTTGACGATGACCACGATAATCAAGAGAAGGAGGTAATTATCGGATTGGGGGGCCTTACCGATGGCTTCGAAGGCGAAGAAAACTCGTTTGGCTGCGAAGTGCCTGTTTGTCCGATTTGCCAGACTAGCTTGACTGGTCTGAATGAAGCTGTAAGTCGTCCTGAGCGAGTGTTATATGCTCAGTGTGGTAACGGTCAGTGGATTAGGACGTCTCGATACACGTCAATGATTGCTTAGACGGCAAGCCTGGTATGATGCAAACCGAGCCTGAACCTAAAGTCAAGTCCGAGCCTACAATAAAGTCCGAGCCTGAAGCCCAGTCCGATCCTGAGATCAAACCCGATCCTGAACCTCCATCAAAAGCACCAACTCGTATGGATCGAGCAGCAATCGCCCGCCCAGCACAGCGTGATCCATACGCTCCCGGCCATGCTGGGACTCGGTCGGCCTTCTCCAAGCTCATGGCTGGTAATGCGGAGGATACTGCGTGGGCAGCAGCAGCGGCCAATGAAGTGGCATCCAGAGGCAAACAGGCGTACCAACGGACTTGCCCGTTCTACAAAATTATGCCCGGCTTCTCAATATGCGTGGATGCGTTCCGTTACGGTGCCGTTGAAGGTTGCAATGCTTACTTCTTGAGTCACTTTCATAGTGATCACTATATCGGCCTCACAGGCTCATGGCGACATGGTCCTATATACTGTAGCCGTGCGACGGCTAATCTCGTGTGCCAGCAGTTGAAAGTTGATCGTAGATGGTTAGTGCCACTCGACTTTGAGAAGAAAACCGAAATCCCTGGCACGGGCGGAGCATATGTGACGATCATCGAGGCAAACCATTGCCCCGGAAGTGCCATCTTTCTGTTCGAAAAGACCATGGGATCTGGCCCATCCCAACGAACGCAACGAGTGCTCCATTGCGGCGACTTTCGCGCCTCTCCGCTCCATGTGCAGCACGAACTCTTGCGCCCGGATGTTGTCGATCCCCTTACTGGTCAGCATCGCCAGCAACGCATAGATGCTTGCTACCTGGACACCACGTATCTGAGTCCCAAGTATGCCTTTCCAAGCCAGGAAGACGTGATACAGGCTTGTGCCCAACTGTGCGTGGAATTGAATGAGGGCCAGCAGAAAAGTAGCGGGCTCGCTTTCGGCTCAACAGGCAGTTCCTCTGGCATTGGGGGCGGGTTGATGAGCAAGTTCGTTTCCAAAGTCACAGGCTCTTCGGCGCAAGAGTCAGCATCGACTTCAAGTGGTCGATTGCTGGTGGTCATAGGGACATATAGCATTGGTAAGGAGCGCATCTGCCTGGGAATCGCGCGGGCTCTGAAGAGCAAGATTTTTGCCACCCCGGCCAAACAGCGAATTTGCGCGTGTCTCGAGGATCCGGAGCTGTCATCGCTGTTGACGGACGATCCCCGCGCGGCTCAGGTGCATATGCAAACCCTGTTTGAGATTCGAGCCGAGACGCTGGCCGATTACTTGGACTCGTTGAAGCCGCATTTCACGAAAGTGGTGGGGTTTCGACCGACCGGCTGGACGTACCGTCCACCCGCGGGGCGAATGTTGGACAACCCCCCTGTGTCGACGGTGCTTCACTCGGCCCATTGGCAGACTCCATTTTCGGCACGCGACCTCGTGCCACAAAGAGGCAGCACGCGGGAAAGTGCCTGTTTTGGGGTGCCGTACAGCGAGCACAGCTCATTCCGAGAATTGACCATGTTCTGTTGTGCTCTCCGGATCGGACGGGTCATCCCGACGGTGAATGTGGGCAGTCAGAAGAGTCGTGAGCGCATGAAGGCGTGGGTTGAACGGTGGGAGGCAGAGAAACGGAAGAGTGGTTTGTACCAGGTCACAGGTGACCGGTGGTGAGAGCATCATAGGTTGAGCTGGGCTTCACTGTACATATTGAAGTTCTCAAAAAAATCCTTAGACACGAAGCATTAATGAAGATCTTGTCGCAATGGCAGGGCTGTCATTGGCAGACACGGCTGGGAATGACAATTATCTCGAAGCTGACTGGCTTGCATTGTACAATTGTGTATAAATAAACTCCAAATCGTCCCTGGATCGACGTTACATTCGATAGAGGCTCATCCTCTCCCCCACAAAGGAATAACCGTGATAACCGAGAGTTAAGCGGGGGCAAAAGGTAGAGTCGAGTCGGGGAGGGAGATCGGCTGGAGAGAAGCAGCTACTGCAGTCAAGACCCGGTGGTCAATCCCGATTCACCTCCCGGGCTGGAGGCATAGCCTCGGGGATTCCTCCTCTTAAATACAGAGATCTCCAACCAACCTTTTGCCAACACTACGATCAACACTTCGCATTTCTCTTGTCAGTTTTCTTTTCGATTCTCTTTTCACTCCCTCAACCTATATACTTTTGATTAGATACTATATCTGAACCCTTTGCAGCGTAAGTCAGCCCATACACAGTCGTATGCTGGAATCCCGCCAAGGATTTCCGTTTTCGCTCGGTCGGCAGTTGAGATCGGCTGTCATTCTCCCTCCCAATTCCCACATTCTCCTCCCCGTTAAACTGACGCTCAGTCAATCCACCCCTAGTTCGATTCTCCTGTGGCCGGTCCAGACCCTTTTACCCCGGATTTTCGTCGAACAGCCAACCAGATCCGTCGGCCTATCATGATTGCCGACCTGCTTTCGCCGCAGGCCACGCCTTACCTCCTACTGGGGTTGGTGGCCCTCTATTATCTCCTGCCCTACGTTCAGCTCTGGCGTCTGCGTGATATTCCTTCTCCTGGTTTCGCCGCCTTCTCCAACTTCTGGCTCCTCCTCCAAACTCGTCGCGGCTCCCGTTTCCTCGTTGTCGATGAAGCCCACAAACGCTATGGTAAACTCGTTCGCATCGCTCCCCGCCACGTCTCCATCGCCGATGACAACGCAATCCAGGCGGTCTACGGTCACGGAAATGGTTTCCTGAAGGCGTATGTTGCCCGCCTGCATAATGGTATGGGATGTGGCTCATGGTAGTGGTACAGAGATTTCTACGATGCATTCGTTTCCATCCGTCGTGGTCTGTTCAACACTCGCGATCGTGCGGAACACACCCGCAAGCGCAAGACGGTGTCGCACACTTTCAGTATGAAGTCGATCGGCCAGTTCGAGCAGTACATCCATGGCAACATCGAGCTTTTCGTTCAGAAATGGACGACCATGGCTAACACGCAGCGCAACCCCCGCACCGGCTTCGCGAGTCTCGATGCACTGAACTGGTTCAACTATCTGGCTTTTGACATCATTGGAGATCTTGCTTTTGGCGCTCCTTTTGGTATGCTTGAGAAGGGCAAAGATATCGCGGAGATGCGCAAGACCCCGGATGCCCCTCCCTCGTATGTCCAGGCTGTTGAGGTTCTCAACCGCCGTGGTGAAGTTTCCGCCACCCTTGGCTGTTACCCCGCGCTGAAGCCGTTTGCCAAGTATATTCCGGACCGCTTTTTCCGGGATGGTATGGAGGCTATTGAGAACCTGGCTGGTATTGCCGTCGCTCGGGTCAACGAGCGTCTGCGTCCCGAGGTTATGGCCAACAATACCCGTGTGGATCTTCTCGCTCGTCTGATGGAAGGAAAGGACCAGAATGGTAACAAGCTTGGTCGTGAGGAATTGACTGCCGAGGCTTTGACCCAGCTGATTGCCGGTTCTGACACCACCTCTAACACCTCCTGCGCTATCCTGTACTGGTGTATGCGGACTCCTGGTGTGATCGAGAAGCTTCACAAGGTCTTGGACGAGGCTATTCCCAAGGATATTGAAGTGCCCACTTATGCTATGGTTAAGGAGATTCCTTAGTAAGTCCATCCTTCCTGCTTGTGCAGTGTGCAATCTTTAACAATGGCGCAGCCTCCAATGGGTCATCTGGGAAACCATGCGGATCCACAGCACCTCAGCCATGGGTCTTCCCCGTGAGATCCCCGCTGAAAACCCTCCTGTCACTATCTCTGGCCACACCTTTTACCCGGGTGACGTCGTCTCTGTGCCCACCTACACCATCCACCACTCCAAGGAGATCTGGGGCCCTGACGCCGACGACTTTGTTCCTGAGCGCTGGGACCCTGCCCGTCTGACCAACCGCCAGAAGGCCGCCTTTATTCCTTTCAGTACTGGTCCCCGTGCCTGCGTTGGTCGCAATGTTGCTGAGATGGAGTTGCTTGTCATTTGCGGCACCGTGTTCCGGCTATTCGAGTTCGAGATGCAGCAGGAAGGCCCCATGGAGAGTCGTGAGGGCTTTTTGCGCAAGCCGCTTGGGCTGCAGGTTGGCATGAGGAGACGGCAGATTGCCGCTTAGTCAGGTGTGTGTGTGGTTGGGTTCATGCATTGGGTAGGCTGCATTCTGGAAGGGCGGAGGCATGTATGTATAGATGGATGATATGATGAGATGACAATTTCGCTAGCTTAGGTAGCTTCTGCATATATATACTTAAAGATGTTTTGGAGTGCCCGTAGGCGGTAGCTTTTTCATGTGATCCTCATAGCAGTAACACCGTGACACTTAAAAGAGGCAATTTCAATGTGGATCACTAAGTTCAAGGTTGTTATAAAGCCTCAAGCAATGCTCAGCCCCGCCACCAGCAAACCAAACCAAATCTCAAGTGCCCCTCCCGCCTTTCACACGACATACTTACTCCCAACAGCATACTACCTTTACCACTCCAAAACCAGCAACATCTGAACACTACCGCAATACAAGATGTCCGCCAAAAAATTGGTAAACCTCCACCTACATCGTGCACTACACCCACAATAACCCTACCCCTTCCTCGAAACCAGACCGTCCTATTCCGCTACGCCGATGAAATGGGCTTTGGCACGGAAGAGAACCGCGCCCAAGTCACAAAGTATGTATCTTGTTATTTGGCTTGTAGCATAATGTGAGCTACCTATGAGGCTTAGCTCCCTAACTTGTTTTCTATAGAATTATCAAGGACGACACTGGATCGGACGTCTGGTCTAGCACGAGGAATATCCCTCCTACCAATTTTCTGCAGTAAGACTTCAGCCAAGCAGCTCTTTAGAGGGAGTAGGTGGGCGCTGATATTTGGGAAAATAGGCTCTCGGAGAAAGCTGTTGAGGAGTTGAGGGCGGTGGAGGGGGTGACTGTTTTGCATGCTGAGGAAGAGGAGGGGGAGTAGTAGTAGCAGGAGGAAGTGGCTGAATCTGCCTAGTTTTTGAAACATTTTGATTATGTCTCTTGTTTGCCTACGTGTTGCTGTCTGAGTTCTAGTTTGCAGGTTCGATTGGGGTCCTGCACGTCTGGCGAAATACGTCTGCTTCGGAGAGGATTCGCTTGGAAGTATACACAGGTATCGCTCTATGCTCCATGAAATCCATTCAAGAGTGCGCAAGGTCATCAACTTGGCTGTTCCCAGGAGAATCCTCAGTCTCCAGTACGCCCAATTTCTCCCCCTGCCCACGTCGAGACTCTTCTCGATTTAGCAGACAAGCATAAATGCCAGAAAACACACGTCTACCTCACCCAACAATCCACCATCGATGCCTCAGCGCGTGCAAAACCATGCGTGGATCACCAAGACCAGCGGCCGGCGTTGTCGCCAATACCCAAACATCGGGGTGGGGAGCTCGCAAATCCAGTTGAAGCTGGCGGAGATGAGTTCGCCTTCATCAACACCCTCGGCTTGACTGTGGTTGGTGCTGTGGCTGTGACTGTGAGTGGGGCAGTCGTTGTTTTTGGCTCTGGCGGTTGTTTTGGCTGTGGAGGTTGTTTCCAGTGTTGTCATACTCCGCTAGTAAGGGGGCGAGGTGGGTAGTGATGACCCAGTGGTGAATCTGGTACTCCTCTGCGGAGAAAGCGGATGAGTTGGATTCCTGTGCGGTAACGAGGTGGAGGAGAAGGGTGTCGATTGCCTGCCGAGAAGGCGACGATGGTGATGATGGTGATGATGCTGGAAGGACGGTGGGCAATACACATCCACTGGAACAACCCGATCGCAGCCCCTGACCACCGAGTAACTATAGTGATAGTACCCCCCGCCGTTTGCGCAACTTCCTACACTCAGCACATACCGTGGCTCAAGCATCTGGTCGTAGACCTGCCGCAGCGCAGGCGCCATTTTCTTCGTCAATGTGCCCGCGACAATCATGAGATCCGACTGGCGAGGCGAAGCCCAGAAGTGTTTCTCCTGTGATGGAAGGGGCGCTTCTTTTCGGGGACGTCCACTAGCGGTGAGGAACGGGTGAGGTCGTTCGAGACTGGTTTGTTGATTTAGGAAGCGCACTGTTTGGGCATTGAGTGAGAACTTGGCGGCACTTCGAACTTTGGATGCAGAAGACGAAGATTAAGTTTGGTGCTTCGAGGAGAGTTGCAGTGTTGATGGACTTCTCACCCGCTATACATCTTGCGAAGAAGGGCACATAGAATAGTTAACTTATGGTTGGGAGCAAGGCCGCCTGTCAAGTCTTTGGTGAACTCCGCGAGTCTCGCAAGTGTTTCCACAAAAGTACCATTGCATACTGCATATCTGGATTTGCTGAGAATAGAAAAACATCATCAGGCTGCTGAGACAGCATGCTGTGCAGCCCTGCTGTGAGGCCAAAAAGGTATTTCTTACGAGAAATACCGTCGGTACAGTAAGAGAGCCGACCCAACTGCCCCATTAGGCATAAATTACGATTTTGGCCCTCAACGTGCGTAGCAGACAGTACACACTGATTCATCGATCACTTCGGCTCTACAGGTTTCATCTCTATGGTTTCATACCGCAACGACCATTCCCGTGTCTCCTGAATGATCCATTCTTGGGAGTTTCCGCGACCCGCATCTTCCGATCTTGTTGCGTCCTGGTCTTTGCGTCTGATTTCCGACCCTCTCTTCCCTGAACTGGCACGCGACCTCTGCGCAGCCGCGGATGCTGTGCTTGCCTGATGGAAGTAGCTACTCCCATCTTGCCCAACTGTACCCTGTCCCCAACCAGTGTTGAAAGACACGACAAACGGCTTGAGACAGGGCAGTGTGGCAGCCATAATGCTGCAGTGCAGCAGAACTTGAGTCAGAATGACGGCGTCGGAGATGTCAAGCAGAAGGTCATTGGTATGTGCGATGGCGGTCATCGAGGTTTGCCGAAGAATGGCAAGAATGACGATCCTAATGAAGAAGACATCAGTAGCTGAATTCTCTAAGATCTGGTGCGATGAAAAGAGCAGACATCCTACCCGAGCCTTGTCCCAAACGCCCCGATAACACCAGCCTTCCGCATTCTTGTCAATTTAATAGGCCAGACGAGATACAAACTGAGGCCGAGTAATAGAAGCTCGGTAATGACGTCGAGGACGGTGATCGCTTGCCATCGAGGGAGCTGAGGTTGTCAGTTACAGAGTGAAGCTCTTCCGCAGTATGACTGTTCCTTACAAGACTTGCACATTGCTCGAGTAGCCACGGATGGCGAAACGGACATTTCAGAGCGACAATCAGGATTGACACTATTGCCCACAGAACAATCCCGACCATGACGCCCAGACAAGCCCTTAAGTATGTCCTTTCTCGACCCAAACGTCGCAGGAGAAAGAGCACGGACAATTTGGCTGCGCAATGGCCGGCCAGGAACAGGATGTTCGCACCATATAGGGCCTGGGAGAGTTAGCAGAGCTGGCGGATACTGATCTGTCAACCTTGAACCGTGGAGCGGGAAGTACCTGCTCAGCACGTTCTATGCGGGATGAATTCAGTTGTTTCTCCGTGCTTCCCAATCCATCATTGACGCCCTTCACGAGCACCCCTACGTTGACGATTCCCAGTATCTGTTTATAGTCAGCGCTCATTAGGCTCCAGGCTCTTTGATCGAATCACTCGCTGGAGCATCGGTACTGACAGAAGCAACATTCGCCATCAAGTCATCCAGTCCCCACGGTCCAATGATCGTCATACGCATATAGATGCGAAAAAAACTGACCAGAACCATCCACGACATGAAAAGAGTGGTCACAACCACCATCAGGCCCCGCCGGTCCGTGTCCGAGATCACATAGGCTGCGTGTGGCATACTGGCGGATCCATAATTCTGTTCTTGCTGTGGCGACGGATTGAGCTTAAGAGCAACAAGATTGCTCTTTTTGCTCTTGTGCTTTTTAACCAGATATGGTTTCTTGAGGGTGACTTGACTTCCCCCCCCCCGGCTTTATTCGACACCAATGAGAATTCTGACCCTTGCTCGCTGAAATTAGCTCGCCATTCTCATGCAAGCGACAATTTGCGCAGGCGGGGTTGTATTCTCTGATTGTCTGATGTTAAACTATACTAACAGGGATTGATACAAGCGATAAATGAATCGATCCGCTGAAACGTGCTGAATAGTGCTCCTGTGCCGCGAAATTTGTGGCACAGTCAGGCTACATAGCGACGGAGCTTTTAGCGTGCTTAAGCGTCGTTGCATTTGCAGGGATACTGCGGGATAAGCACTTTGGGAAGGTTGCCCGCTGCGGCCAGACAATCAATTGTCTGTTGGCCGTTGTTCTAGCTACTAGTGACCACTATTTTATATTAATCTAGTGCGGTCACCGATTGCAATGCGTGTTACCAGAGTCGCATGAAGTAGGGGCACCCCCTCTTATTAAATTGCGGCCCTTCTCCGGGTTCCTCACCTTGGCAATGTTCGTCCATTGTTCATTGAGTCAACATGTCAATCAAGACAGAAAAGGCACCGGGTTTCTCTGCGTGCTCTACTCACGCAGATTATGAGAGTACCTCGACCACAAGAAAAGATGGCACGCCACAAGATCGAAAGGATATGTGGCGTGTGGGACGGGAACAGGAATTGAACGTGAGCATACCGGCTTGACTGAGACGATTCGTGAGAAAAGCTAACGACATCAGCGAAACTTCCGACTTCTTTCGGTGATAGGATTCAGCGCGGTCTTGATGTGCACCTGGGAAGCCGTCTTGTTGTACGTTCGCTGATAGCATGCACTGCACCCTCATACTGACTTTCTGCAATAGCGGTGCATCCTACGGTCTCACAGACGGAGGAAAGGCAGGAATGATATATACCTACCTTGGCGCAGTCATAGGCTTCAGCTTTGTGATTCTTTCAATGGCTGAAATGGCTTCAATGTTGGCCGACTAATACCGAAGAACGAGCGCCAATGCTGATTCTCATTAGGGCTCCAACTTCCGGCGGCCAGTACCATTGGGTTTCGGAATTCGCACCGCCCAGTCAACAACGCTTCCTCAGTTATCTTACCGGCTGGGTTTGTGTATTAGGCTGGCATACAGGTATTGCGGGATGCTGCTATACCGTTGCCAACATGCTGGTCGGCTTACTGGCAATCAACTATCCCGACAGCTATGTCTATCAACCGTGGCATGTGACACTAATCGTGATCGCAGCCGCTCTTGGGGCCCTGCTGTTCAACACGCTCTTAGCCCAGAAACTGTCGTTCATTGAGGGCATCATTTTGATTGTGCATTGTTTTGGTTTCTTCGGTATTCTTATTCCCTTGTGGGTGTTGTCGCCTACTGCCTCTGCTTCGGAGGCTTTTGGGTCGTTCGAGGACAACGGAGCCTGGGGCAACATGGGGCTTGCGTGCTTGGTAGGGTTGACGGGTCCGATTTATGCCCTCATCGGTATGTCGATATATCCCGCTACCTAGAAGTGCGACTTTGTACTGACTGTGTGTATTTGCGTTTCAAAGGGCCTGATGCAGCTGTGCACATGTGTACGTTCCTTCAACCCAGTCTATATTACTACGCAGGATCTGCATCTTTCATGCTCGTGAGAACTAAACCTTGATTAGCTGAAGAGATCCGCGACGCCTCCCGCGTTCTTCCTATCAGCATGATTAGCACACTGATCCTTAATGGAGCCACCGGCTTCATCATGATCATCACGTTCGCGTTTTGTCTGGGCGATATCGAAGAAGTCATGGCCAGTGAGACGGGATTCGCCTTTATCCAGGTCTTCTGGAACGCCACTGGCTCGACTCGCGCCGCCACAGGGATGACCGTGGTGATTATGATCATGCAATTCTGTGCTGCTATCAGCAATGTTGCCACAACATCTCGACAGATTTACGCCTTTGCCCGTGACCAGGGCCTCCCGTTTGCTGGCTTCTTCTCAAAGGTACGTCCGTTCTCCGTCCAGGGTAGTCCTTGTGCGAATTCAGACACATCGGATCACTTGGAACCCTAAAGCTAAGTATCGGTCACAGATTCATCCTACCCTCAAAGTACCTTTCAATGCCCTCTGCGTCAGCATGGTTATCGTTACCCTTCTCTCCCTCATCAATATTGGCTCCTCGGTGGCCTTCAACGCGATCATGTCTCTTGGCACAGCTGCTTTGCTTTCCTCCTACCTGATCTCCATCTCCTGCGTGCGTCTTCGGCGGTGGAGAGGCGATTATCTCCCTCCGGCACGATGGAGTCTCGGACGCGCGACACCGTTCATCGACACCGTATCGATCCTCGTTTTAATTGTCATTTTGACGTTCAGCTTCTTCCCGCTCACGAACAAGCCCGACGCCGCCGATATGAACTGGAGTATTGTTATCTTTGCGGGGGTGGTGCTGTTGGCTGTAATGTACTATGTGTTGTATGCGAAGCATCAGTACCGGGGACCCGTGACGAGGGTCAGGACTGAGTGAACGTCGTCAAATGTGCCATCCCTTGAGCAGCATCTTCCTAGTGTAAATACCCATCATATGGCAGAATAGTCTGTATTTAGGCCTCGAAGAATATTTTTTCACTTTGCAGGCTGCTACTTTGCTTAGTAGCAAAAGCCTTATTGTTCTTACCGCTTTTGATCGGGAATCTCTCCGGTTCCCAACTCATTCCATTTCAGTCGACCTGCAACTTACCCAGGACTTGTTGTGTTGACAAAAATGACGTGATGCGAAGAAAGGATATGCGGGGGGGGATCGCGTGCTGACAAAACGACAACCATGGTCCTGGACACGATTATATATCAACAGATCGGAAATGATACACGACCCTTGGTTCAGCCATCGCATGAGACTCCATGACCGGCCCAGATCGAGATCGAACGACACTGACGCCACGAACCACCAAACCTGATAATCAATTTGTCATGCACTGCTGCCTTCCACCAGAAGAAAGACAGACAAGCATGGAGTTTCTTGTCTAATCGTGAGCACAGATTCGAACCCTCCCTGATTTCATACACAACTATGACCGAGACGATCGATCCACAATTATGCGAGGCCAAGGCGCTGAAGGCTCTCATTCCGGGTCTCTTGGCCGATAGGGAGATCACGGGTAACACTTCCAATAACCAATACATATTTCACTCACGGTCGCTAATCTTTGGGGTCGATCGTAGATGATGGACGCCTGCACGTCGACTTACAAGAAAACTGTCCGCGCCTTGCGAGCTTTCTCGATCTTCTACGGCGCCAATCCGAGAACCATCGTCCGTGGATGCCTGAAGACAGTACAACGCGATTCCCGCTCCGCTTGAATGTGGTCATACACGTTGTTGGGTCTCGTGGGGATGTGCAACCCTTCATCGCGCTGGGCCAGGAGCTGCAGCGACACGGTCATCGCGTACGACTCGCAACACATTTAGTGTTCCGAGACTTTGTACGCGCCCATGATCTGGAGTTCTTCAACATCGGAGGTGACCCGGCGCAGCTTATGTCGTTCATGGTGAAGAACCCGAACTTGGTCCCAAAGGTGGAAGCCATCACCCAAGGCGACATCAGTCGGCGGAGGAAGGATGTGCGTCAGATCCTTGGGGGCTGCTGGCGGTCATGTTTCGAACCTGGAGAAGGCCTTCATCCCTTCAATCCAGCCGAGTGTACCGGTGTGCTGCCGTTTGTCGCTGACGCCATCATTGCCAACCCGCCTAGCTTTGCACACATCCACTGCGCGGAGAAAATGGGGATTCCGCTTCATTTGATGTTCACGTGGGTTGTCTGATAATTGTTGCCTTTCTGTTGATGGTTGCTTATGTGGAAAAACAGGATGCCATGGTCGCCCACGCAGGCCTTTTCACATCCACTGGCAAAAGTGCGCTCAACCAATAATAGATCATCGGTGGGCAAATTGGTGTCATACATGATAGCAGAGACGGTGATTTGGCAAGGCGTCGGTGACTTGATCAATGAATTCCGACGTCATGAACTGGGGCTGGAGCGACTGGATTCTATGCGCGCGCCCAGTCTTCTTTCGCGATTGAGGATTCCTTTTACATACTTGTGGTATGATGACTTGAAACGGGTTCGGTGCCACGGGGCTCGATTGACGTGATGCCCAGGTCTCCTTCCCTGCTGCCGAAGCCTGACGATTGGCTGGATCATATTGATGTAGCTGGGTTCTCTTTCCTGCCGCCAGATGACAAATACAATCCGCCTCGAGATCTGCTCGAGTTTCTTGAAGCTGGAGAACCTCCCATATACATCGGCTTCGGGTCGATTGTTGTCGATGACCCGGAAGCACTCACGCATACAATTCTCGAGGCTGTTCGACTCTCCGGTCAACGCGCAATCATCTCCAAGGGCTGGGGTGGCATTGGTGCAGATGAAATTGACGCCTCAGATGTATACTTTCTAGGTAATTGCCCGCACGACTGGCTCTTTTCTCGAGTGTCTTGCGTTGTCCACCATGGAGGTGCAGGGACAACAGCAACGGGATTGGCTTTGGGTCGACCCACCGTCATCGTTCCGTTTTTCGGCGATCAGCCTTTCTGGGGGATGCTTATAGCTAGCAATGGTGCAGGACCTGCACCGATCCCTTTCAAACTATTGACAGCTGCAAAGCTTGCTGGTGCGATTCGCCACTGCATGGAACCCGAGACTCGAGAGCAAGCCAAAGTCCTGAGCTGTAAGATTCAAAATGAGGAAGGTGCTAAAGCAGCGATGGACAGCTTCCATGCACACCTTGATCTCAAAAGACTGAGATGCGCATTGTGTCCTGACCGTCCGGCTGTATGGCGCGTTCAGCACACCAGCGTTTTTCTCAGTGCATTTGCTGCTACTGTCCTCGTCCATTCGAGGCAGCTTGACCCGAAGAATGTCAAATTGTACGTTCCCACCTCCATGATGACGCTTGAATAGACTCATCCAAAACAGGCTTCGAATTAAATCCTATGATACAAATCTGGATCCCGGTGTTCCAGGTCTTCCCGGAGCTGAGATGTTTGCCGGCTCTCTCACGAACTTTTTCACGGGTCTTGTCGAGATGCCAGTTCAGCTAGTCCAGAACTTTGCACGGTCGCCCTCTATTAGATTTGCCGAGAGGTATAGCCTTACAAGCTATTGTGCAACGCAAGCATCTATTTCCCCGGCGAGCTTGACAAAATTCTCAGACAAGCCTGAAAAACGTCAACGAGCGGACTCTGGTATCTCTATAACTCCTTCAAACCTTTCATTAGAGTCCTCGTCCAGCCAAAGTGCCCTCAACATGCCGTCTATGGACCGTGGCACGGCATCCTTGAAGAACGTACTCATCAGTTCAGGCTACACTGGACGTCAGCTTCTAGACTGGATTATCGAGATCCCCATGAGCATTACATTTCTAATGAGCCACACGTTCCACAATGCTCCTCGATTCTACCACGATGAGACCGTGAGGGTAGCACCGATAGCCACGGGAGTTAAGTCGGGGTTCGTGGCAGCTGGCCAGGTCAGATCATCATGCAATGCATCTTTTTGTTCTTTATAGTTACCAATGATAGCTAATAATCAACAGGAATTTGTGTACAGCTGGTACGATGGCATTACTGGGGTTGTGACACAACCCCATCGAGGGTGGGATAGCAAAGGCGCTTCTGGGTTGGCCTCCGGTTTTGGCAAAGGAGTTGGAGGGCTGCTGATCAAACCTCAAGCTGGTAGGCCATGGTCAAACGTGTTCAATTGACGCGCTCAGATTTTGCTAATGCAGTTAGGTCTGTGGGGCCTGCTTGGATATCCTCTGAATGGGGTTCATCGCAGCATTGCCAACTCTTATGGGCAAAGCCGACGATGCTGCGTGGTCAAGTCACGTATAGCCCAGGGCCTTGCGGAACTTCAATTGGCTTCGGATGGTCAGCGGGCAGCCGTTCTGGCGCGTTGGAAAGATCATTATGAAAAAGAGGTGAAGGCTAAATTGGAGAAAGGATAACGATAGAAAAGCTTCGGCCTAAAACAAGTCGATTCGACACATTCTGAAGACTGATCATCTTACAGCGTTATGCCCTGAGCCAGAGCATTTACCACCTTCTCCTGAAAGTCCAAGGCAAGTTCTGCGTCTCCATCACGGAAGCTTCCTGTCAGACAGTCGACGGTGGCTTGTGCATAACCGTCGCCCATTTCCTTGGGCAGGTTCTGCTGAGCTAGTACCACCAGATCCGCCGCAACTTTCTTCGCCCTGGGTAGTCGTCCGGTCTTTTCTGCGTCGCGGATTTTAGACTCCATCAATCGAGACATTGTCACCCAAAGGCCAATCTCCAAAAGCACCACTCCCAAGGCGTAGATGTCATGGCGCCGTCGGAATTGCCAGGTGGGCTTTCCCTGTCGATCGGGATGACGGTAGAGGTTTGCTTCAGGCTCGAAGTCTCCACGCATATCCGTGCCCTGTTGCTCGGACCGTGCATAACCCCAATCACTAAGGTATGCAAGAATCCTTCGTTGCAACTTTGGCGGGCTTGAGAGTCGATGCGCCTCAAGCCCTGATGCGCGCACGCCCGCTGGAGTCTGCAAAAAGAGGAGGATCCCTCTGCTCCAGACATTTTTGTGAACCCACTTCGAGGCGTGGATGTTCAATAGAGTTACAGCGAGGCAATGCGCCATGCTGAACCGGTCATTCAAGGACGGTCGCTTGAGTGGCCTTTTGCTCTCTCTGTCTATAGCGTTGATAAAGCTATGGAGAGTGACGACTCGCGCTGTGTCTGGTATCTCTCGATACTCATCCGTCATCTCCGACGTTGGAAGCTTGTATAAAAATACGTTACGTTCTTCTTCTGGCTGGTCGATAAAACCTAAACACTCCATAGCATAGATCTGAGGCGGCTCCAGCCCGGGCTCCGGATCCGAGGATCTGTGACTGCTGAAGGTGCTGTTTTTCAAGAGCCAAGCTAGATCACGGACGGGCGCTTTCAGCTCCTCAATCTCATCGGAATCCAGGTCGTCACATTTTAGCTTTCCTTCGTATTCATGAAACTCAATAACCACAGGCGTGCTGCTTGTCGAGCCGGATGGCGTCCACTGTCCCAGCCGGAAGTCGCCCGATGCATTCCCTTCCTCGACAATTTGACCTGCCAGGCTTTGGAAATTCGCCGGAGCATGCGCTTCGATCATTTGCCTTCGCTTGATCACGGGCCCCAGTCCGGTGGCTTTGAGGCCCTGATCATTCTCATCAACAACTCGGGACAGGGCATCTTGAGACAAATGCTGCATGAGGTTGCGTAAGTCCGCTGACCAGCTGGTGTAGGCTTCAAGGATTTTTTGCAATTTTTTCTTGTCGAAAAGCGACCAGTCATAGCCTTTCAATTTCAAGGACGTGGCTTTGATCTTGATGCGATGCAGGAGTGATTCTTTGACCAGCTCAGGTTTATCCAAGTCTTCATCCTCTTCATTTGCCGTTACAAGGCCATACCGGACCGCCACAAGCTCATATTCCGTCAACGTTTTGCGCATCTGTACCAGCAGTCCCTCAATGGTCTGTGCAATGAAGGGGTCGAGTTTTCCTGGAAGAAGCAGGCCATGATTTGGATCGACGAAAATCCGACGGAAAAACAGCAGAGTCGAGAGCTGCACGTTCAGTTTCAAGCGGATCTCCGCTCGGTCTTCGTCGAAGGTCTTGATGTCAGCAATGACGCCTTGAATGAAGACCGTTACCTGGTAGGCCTGCGTGATGGCCGTTACTGCTGTGCCATAAAAATCCATGGTTAAGACAAACGCTTTGGTGAGATGAACCGGGAAGAGAGAGTTGGAAGGGAGAAAAGAGCACAGACGGCAGAGAAATGAGGGGATGTGGGGGCCCGATCGGATGTCATGGCTGTCAGACGAGGCTGAAGAAATGGAGACTAAGGAGATTGTGAGGGGAGGAGGGGCTAACTTCATACAATGCCTCTAGCCTCATACCCCCATTTCGTTTGCAGACCCGCAGCGAAAATCGAAAAAGCAAAAAAGACCCCCTGTTTTTCTCAAGCAAGCCCTGGTCTCTGCAACTTCCACAAGTCAATATGTCTGACGACGAGTCATATGATTGTCTTTCATCTTTGGATAATGGAGATCTTTCCCCATCGTTGCGAGATTGGGCTTCGGGCACGGCCGACGATTACGATGTGGTCTCTTCAGATCTCGATCTCGACAGCCTCAACCTTTCATCCGTTCCATCTAGTGATTTCTTGGAGGTGGCCATTACGGCAACTCGTAATGGAGAGTCAGCAATTCTTAGCACTGTCTCTCAATTTGCCGGCATATTGTCGCAGACTGGAATCCATGGACCACGGTTGTTGAAGGTCCTCAATCTTGCGACGCGGGCTACTAAGATTGGCGCGGGCTCGCAGTTCACTGTCTTCAAGGAGAAGTCAAATGAAGGCTATACAGGAAATGAGGGCCTGGTGATCAAGCGGGTGAATGTGCCTCTTTCTCGAAAAGGCGCTCAGCGATTCGCAGACACTCCTGAATACCGTCTTCAGTTGCGAACGCTGGGGTTGGAGTTACTTGCTCTTTGCAACCCCACGCTGCGGTGTCACCCCAATATTGTTCGGTTGATTGCATGGGGCTATGACTATCCGTTTGCTGATATGCCAATTCCAGTTCTTTTCGTGGAAGCTGCTTTGATGCCATTGACGAATTTCCTCGATGTCGACAGCGACTGCTCGCCCGAGGTGAAATATCAACTGAGCTTGGACATCGCGAATGGAACTGAGGCACTGCATCATCTACGTATCGTGCATGGCGATCTCAAGCCGGAAAACGTGCTTGTGTTTGCCTTGGAGAGCGACAAAGTGCCTTTTCGAGCGAAGCTGAGTGATTTTGGGGTCTGTATTGACCTAGAGGCAACTGACAACCGGCTTACCATGAATGATTATCGTGGAACGCCAGCGTGGCTGGCCCCTGAGGTGGCCAATGGTGACTTAGCTCGCTTTTGTCCTTTCCGCCCGGATCTGATGTTTCGATTCGATGCATACAGCTTCGGCCTGACCGTACTGGCCATGTTTGTCAACAATGGGGAGCCTGTAGTTCTCGCCGACGATCCCGAAACCGCGACAGAAGAGATCTTTGAGATGCTCTATGGACGCGATGACATTCCATCCACACTGCGTTCGGAGCTCCGTAAGGCGATTCAGAAGCTTCTAGCGGAAGACCCGAGAGATAGACCGCTGCCGACCACACAACTATTGAAGACGGATACCCCTGCATATGCATCTTGGTTATCTCTCTCGCAGGTCAGGACACACGATGCTCCTTTTGTTGGCACACTTGACCCGATGTACAACAAAGGCCCATTGTTTTGGTACAGACTCGATCCTGCCGTTCTATCTGAGCTGGAAGCGCAATACGCGGCAATGAAACAGGATTCATCTGTGAACATGCCAGGTGTTGTGCTCTTTGGAATGGCGCAGACCGTGACAGGGGCCAAGCCGGCTTATCTTGACCGTCTTCTGCACTATATGACCGACGCCGCAAAGGGAAGCTACTCTCCAGCAAGGGCCGTCTATGCTCAAGTCATGGCAGCGCATGAGCGACCACCGGAATTTGAGGAGAAGGTTCTCGAGAACTGGATCTTGCAAGCCGTTGCGGAAGGGTATTTTTTCGCTCCCCCGTCCGTCCTTACATTCGAGCAGATGGAGCAGGCAAGGAGCAAGTTTCGTCATACCGGCGGGTTTTGTGTGGATCCGTTCCTTCGAAAACACGATGTGATAGAGGCTGTTCGAAATCCCGTGAAGGCAATTAAATGGAAGCTGGCACATGGCTCAATCGTTGACCAGAAAGGAAACACTATGCTTCACGTAGCTGCCGCGCTTGATGAGCTTGAGACAGCTCGGGCACTTATAGACGAGGCGAACATGACTGTTAATGCTCAGAATGATGATGGAGAGACTCCACTCTACAAGGCATGTCAGGCTGGTCATGCGAGAATAATTGAATTTCTGCTTCAGCGAAAGGCAGATGCGTCTCGTACAACAGACCGGGCAGGAGTGTCTGCACTGCATTGGCTCTTTGTTCTACCAGAAGAATCGATCGAGGTTATTGCGGCGCAGCTAATTGCAGCCGGGGCCGATGTTAACACTGTCATCCGGCCTGTTGTAGGCGAAAATAGTGGGGGATTTCCGGAGAGGATCCAGATGCTCCATTAGTAAGTGCCCAAAATTCGGCTATCAATTTAGCCATTACTTACACTCATGACCCAAAGCCCATTCGAATTGCCTCATGGTACCCCTCTGCACTGGGCAGCTGCCTTTCGCAACCTAACAGCAATGACCACTCTAATAGACTTGGGCGCCAACTTGAATGCGAGTTATCATGCTTGTGACAGTGCAACGACACCTCTCGCTCTGGCTGCATGGTTTGGTGACTTGGAGGTGGCTAGGCTTCTTATCTCTCATGGGGCTGATGGGAAACTTGTCGACTCAATGGGGCGGAACACACTTCACAGCATGACCAAATACTTCCCAGACCGACATGGCTACTTTCCTCACCACTGGCATGCTTGGATCCGACAGGGAGGCTGGGAGGCTTATCTGGATAATACGAAGAAACTCGTGCAGCTACTATTGGACGCGGGTGCAGATATAAATGCTAAGGATAAAGCGTATCCTCCGTTGACCCCGATTGCTGCTGCTGCCGACCTTGGGGTCTGGAATGGTGGGGTTATTTATGCCTTACTCGACGCTGGGGCAGATCTCACGGTATCAACCATATCGATGGGGGATTCTGGTATGTTCTCCATATCATTAGTTTTGATTATCTTACAGACTGAACATGGTTTATAGTACTTCACTCTTGGGCCTCAATCGTGGGTCCCCGACTAGACTATCCGCGCGCATACATTCCCACCCTTCAACGCATTGTCCAGGCAATGCCCGATATAGACGTCCGGAACAAATATGAGAATGACACGCCGTTGCATTCATTGTCTACCATATACCATCCTGAGGATGAATTCGAACAAGCCTGCGAGATCTTGTTTGAGCACGACCCTCCCGCAGACCTCAACGCGCAGACCCGTCGCGGCGCCACCCCTGTGTCAATCGCATTCGATACCCAAATGGATCCAGCTCGTCGTGGACTTTACTTATTGCACAAGGGTGCCTCACCAACTATTCTCACGGATCAGGGCAAGGACATCTTCTCCGCCATTGCCAACAATCCCGCCCTGCACGATGAAGACACCTACCGCCTTGTTACTGCAATTCTGCGACACATAGCCTCTCTCGGTTCCGGTCTAGGCTCTGATCCGATCGACACAAAAGACATTCACGAGACCTATCAGAAATTATTCCTCCCGAACCCAGGAGCAGTCTACAGCCTGATTGCCGCCGTAACGCGCGGCAAACTCCGCACCACAATCCTGCTCCTTTCTTTGGGGCTGCGATCGCGTCTCAATGACACCGATCCAAGCAAACCGGGAAGATACACGGTTCTGGATCATGCCCTTCACTCAGCCGAGCTCAGCCGCCGTGCGCACATGGAGAAACTCGCGAAGTTCAAGCCAGGTCCGGCACAGCGGGCTGCCATCGAAGAACAGGTCGTCTATAGTGACGGGCAAGGTCCCTCTTCTCGGGCCGCGGAAGCCTATCATGCTTTTCCGGAGGTTTTACGCTGTCTACGCGAAGAAGGTGGTAAGCGGGGATGCGAGTTGGATTTTTCTGATCGTCACGATGATGATCGTCGTGGTGGTGGTGGTGGTGATGTTGGTATCGTTGACGGCACGTATATTCAACAGCAGAGATGGTGGGACTGGACCGCTATCTACACCTATGGATATACACCAATTACACAGCCGCATCGGGAGCAGTGGGATTTATTGTATGAGCTGGCGAGGTATCCGGATGACTGGAGGGGAGAGCATATTCGTGAGCTGATCGAGCAGTATTCCGAAAGAATGTGGAGGCCGGATGTGCGGTTTTTGGAGGATGAGAAGGATCGGGAACTTGTTCGAGAGGTGATAACCGGGATTGGGGCAATCAATGACGGGGAAGTTGTTGAGGGAGGAGAGTCTTTGGTGCTGTTGGAGGCGGTTGATCCGCAACTGGGCAAGGTGGAAGTGGAGGTCCGAGTTGCGGATGGGAGGGTGGTTAGTAAGAGTAGGATCAAGTAGTTTGTCGTTGGTAGAATATACTGATGCATTTGTGAGAAATATACACTTGGAGACACATCGCTCGCTCTTGGCCTTCGGATTTGCGGTTGATGATAAAGGATTCTATAGCTCCGTCAGCTGCGGGAATGTTTCCTCAAGACCCTAGATGGCGTCCAGCCGGCATGGGCGGTATTTGCTCCGCAAGGAACGGGTCCGAGCAGACGATAGATGCGAGATGTTGTTGGACGAACACGGTCGAGCCGGTTGCATTTCCAAACACTGGGGATGGACTTCATCGCACTGGTGACTTGTCAAGCCTCGGTCGTGAATGGGTCTTTCTGCACTGCCGACATGAGCGTCACCCGGACTCTCCAAGGGCGAAAGAAAAAGAAAGAAAAAAAAAACGGTCTACCTTGAAATAGACAGGATGAATATAGGCGTTAGCCACGGGGTTGAACCCGCAGGTGATCCAACCGCTGGTATACACTATCAACAAACCCCTCGCAGCCACGGGCTTCGAGACTAGAAAAGCAAACAAGGCCGTTATCATAGTGCGTCTTACGTCATTCGAGGATATTATGCATGCTTTTGAAGGTCATTGGTGAATGTGAAAATGATGTATGCTATCGACGCCTACTTAGAGCTAGGGCGGATCAAGGGTAGAATGAAAACCTACGAGAAGCTAGTCTTCCTCTCCCTCAACCCAATCCATATTCGGGTAATAATCACCAGGCTCAACCCACTCCGCGAATATGTCATCGTCACTGTTCTGATTCTGTTTCGGAGCCACGGGGGCCAGGAGGCCCGAGGCGCGGAGGTGATCATTCCACTGCTGGCGATTGAAGAGCAAAGGATCGGGATCGCGACCGGGCTGGAACTCGTCCATGTGGCGGAGCCCCAGGATCCAGAAGTCGAACAGCATATTTTGTGGACTGCCGTCTGGCCCTGTCTTCTGTTTCGACAACCAAACCAGGTGCTCGGGACTCGGGTTCCGGTGGATGAGGTTGAGTCGGCGAAGCCTACACAAGGTGTCCCTAAACTTCGACTTCAGTAGCCTTCGCTCGGCTTTTTTCAATGTTTCCAGCTGTGGTGGGCTAGGCAGTGGCGGCAACCGACGCTCTTTCAGCTCTTTGTCTGGGCGCTCCGGGGCTCGCGGCGGCACCTCGTCCATTCGGAGGAAGGTGACCAGGCCACACACCCCCTTGGATATGTCGAGGAGCTCGTCATAGTTGGGAGCGCAAGCAGCCTTGCCGAGCTGGTCGGCGGCGCGCAGTCGGCGAAAGTCCTCCGGCACCAGGTCCTCGAGCCGCAGCATCAGGTGTTCATGGTAGGCCGGGCAGCGCGTAGAAACCGTCTGCTTGCGCTGAAGCTGAGAAGCAATATGGACCATGTGATGGAATTCGGGATCGGTGTAGTTCCGGAGACGGGGATCGAACAAGTCGTGATTGAGCTCTGTGTCTGGCTGGTCGACCGCTTGGCTCACGTGGGAGTTCGTGACCGTCACGGCGAATTTCACGGCGCAGGTCTGCTCTGTGCCGTCCGAGTATAATGTGGCGACGAATGACGGGTCCATTTTGGTCATCCGGGCCACGAAGTGAGCGCGTCGACCGCCCCTGACTTCCATCTCCTTCTCGGACAGAGTAGCGGTGATCTCCCAGCTGGACCAGGCTCTCTTGTCGCCTGGGTACTGGAATCCGATCCAGAATTCGCCGCGAAGACAGGCACCGGGTGCGTCCGTCTCACCACCCATTTTTTCTGTTTGCTAAAAGTCTTTTTGAGATTTGGCTTTTGTTCAGATGTCGTCGGTTATTTGATGGTGAAGAGTATTTTCGTGTTCAAAGGTGAGTCCTTTTATATACGAGCTGTGGGATCGACAGGCTATGGCTGTGGAGGCATGTTGATCCAATCCAACGGTGATTTCCACGATGAGAACAAGGATATTTGGGGACTGAAAGAAAAGTAGGCGATGGCAGTGAACACCAGACAATCAGATTCCCTCCTGAGTAGATATCCTGCCACAAGTCTTTGTTGCCGGATAATCGCTGGGTGGAGATGACGAACTATGATGGAAGTCGTCGTCAGTGATCGCAGAGACAAAATGACGCACAGAAATGTGCCAAAGACGGCTGATTTATCCCTTGATGCTTCGGGAAAAGTCTAGGCGAGAAGGCTTTCGGGATGCGGAGTGAGTGGCCCAAGAGCGTATGCCAGGATTCATCAGAGTTGGTGGTGTATTGTGCCGATTGTCTGTTCTGCCTTGATGCGTAGTTCCGCACAGTATCCCGTCAGGTTCGCTACACTCAAACAGGACTGGCTTGATGCACAAGAGCGAAGGTGCCCCCCCACGCTGCCCATGAGATTGAGATCAGACGGAACTATAGCTAACGATGCATTCGTTATAACGATGTTAGACAAAGTCTTGAGAGCAAAGACGGGGAAATAGACCATTGTACACTACGATGCTAAGATCAGCATTGGTCTCTTTTGTGCTTTTCTTTCTTCTCCCAAGGACCTTTGCACCAATCTCAAAACTGGAAAGAACGAACCTGCCATAAATGCTGTTGTGCGACGGAGATCAGAACAAGCTTCAGCGAGGCACGCGCCGCCTGCAATCTGGGGACAGCCGCGATCGCCAGTCTTCTAGGTGCTGTGCCAAAGTCTTAACGGCACGGATATTCTTCGTGGGGTCCTTGGTCCTAGCTTTGGTGGAGAAGAGGTCAACGTCCAGTACAAAGTGCTTTTCAGCATGGTGAGTTGCCGGAGAAATCGATAAGACCCGATCCTTGGCTTGATTGGATCGTTCAAGCCAACTAATGGCAGCTGAGTGCATTGCCGGTCGAGATCATCTAGCGGTAGTTCGCTGCTTGTACTGCTGCTTTCATGGACCGGGCTTCCAGTGCACAGCGCGATACTACGGCGGGTTTCCCACCGATTCGTAGTCAGCACACTAATGGCTAGGAGACGATTGAATCCGTCGGTGAATTTGGAGTGGCGCTACTGAGGGCTCAAATCCTTTAAGAGGTGGACTGCCAGACAAACAAATTGTCTCATTAGTTGAGCTACCAGAGCCCTCTGGAGCAAGATAGACTATTGAGAGATCCCATGAATGCTTGGTTAATGTCCAGGGAGACTTGTAACTCTCACCACTGCAGGTACTGACGGTAACTCACCATGACCCGTAGAGTTTGGACCGTACATAAGCTTTTTGGTTTCAAGAAACGACTGTCGAGCGAGCCCAGGGCACTCTTGAGATGTAGCCATGTGTTTGAATGGAGGTTTGGGTTGAGATGACATGCCGAGGCGAGAACCGCTTGCAGACGCATCCACGCGCCCAGTCCCACCTGGTTGGGTGCAGCGCTCATCCGGATCACGTCCGCTGTGATATCGTCCTCGTCGACAATGGGAGCAATACTACGAATATTATAGAAGTAGCTCTGGATGAGTCTCAGTGCCACTTTCTGCGACGGAAAAGGCAAGTAGCCGCGCAGCTGATACTGGAGCAAGATCCCTGGTCAAGTCCGTGCTGCGGCCTTCCCGAGCATTGCCCAGAAAGCCCGCAGATCCGGCCGGAGTTGATTCGATGACAGCTATGAGGCTTGATTGTCCACCTTCCGCTCGTATGAGAATGCTGGCATCCTTCCTCCGCCAGAGTTCACCGCACCCTGACGTGTTGTGGTGCCAGAACGAATAGATCTGTATGTCTTGTGATTTCCATGCAAGGAATAAAACTCGAGCTGTCAGTCTCTAAAGAGTAGAGCTCATCGATTGCATATATCTGCATTGAGGTAGTCTTCATAGCGCGGCGTATTTTCTAGCTGAGACAGGCAGTCGATAACATTATCTTGACAAAGAACATAATACCTTAAGTATACCTGTAAATAACTGCTAAGTTTGTGGTAAGCCAAAGAACAACAGCTACGCTTCAAAATGCTTTGTCCATCGATATCCTTGGGCAGACACCGGCGACTTGTGAGATAATTCTGGCCAAATGACTCAGGCCTTAAGACAATGGAGCTGGAATGTGGTAGATCCTGATGGCAGCCTAAGGATTGTCACGGGTCGATAAGGCAACAATCTCAAGCCCTGTGACCGCTCGCCTCACCGCCATATCCGGCAGAACTCTCGCGACCTCGAGAGAGGAATGGGCTATTTTGACTGTGAACAGTCCCCACCAAAGTCGATCCAAAAAGTGGTAGGTTTGGCGGTGGCAGAAAATATTACAGCCTGAGCAGTCTCTAGACCGCCGGTCTCACCGCTATTTGCGGCAGAACGTCAGTGACCTCGTGCGGAAAATCAGGATATTTGGCTACTAACAGGCCCCAAAAAACAAAGCTGGAAAGTGGTAGGTCTAGGCGGCAGCCCCTGGCAGAAAACCCCCCCCCCCCCCACATCAATCCTTAAGTAGCGATAAGGAGGACGGAGTTGTCGCTCGATGATGGCGTTGGGAATCACAGCTTCTACAACAATTCACAACTCTGTCGACTTAGGCCAATTACTTCTACTTACAAATCAAATGAATAGGTTGACTCGCTAGGTGTATTAAATCATGTTGAGAGCTTACTGTATTCAAGGCTGGCTAATGTACTATACTAGTCATACCTCTTCGTGACTTCAATGTTGTTTTTCTCCACCTCTTTTCCAGACTCCGTATCAGCCATCTTCTCGTTATCAGTCGCGGCCGCTTTCCAACCTGCGGTCGCGTTAGCCATGCACATACTAGAGCATACCAGAACAAAAGACATACTATAGAATCTTAGTGCCGGCATTCGGCGTTGCCACATCTCCTTTAGCTGGGGGAGGAAGAAGTACCCCAGGACTACTCCTAGTGCCGAATACCCGCCATAAATAAACCCAACTTTGGACTGTAAGTCCGGATACGGCGCGTTCAGCAGGGATGGGAGGGAGTACGAAACAGCAAAGTCACACACGACGCGGATAGTCCACGCCACGAACGAGGTCTGATCGCAAAGGCGCAGGTGTGGCGTCTCCGCTCCCGTGATGACGGCGCTGTGACGGTCCAAAGTCCGACGAGATAATATCCGGTTTACTCGCCCACTTGCCCTTGTGGAATAGCCTCTCGTTGATATTGAAGCTATCGCACGGTGATTCTAAACCAGCTTTTGTCCCAACTTGGCGCATAAATTACCACGTCATTCGGGCCACTGTCTCTGGGCCTTAAGGTCACTGAACACCAACCCCAGGCACCATCGCGGTGGACGACTCGAGTCTTCGAACTGTATTATAGCATGGCAACAGGCCCAATGCGATCTACACCGTATATTTCTCGCCGGCCATCCAAGCATTGCGTCGTCAACGATTCTGCAATTCCTGCGCACCAGCTCGTTTGTTCTTCAGGTCGGAAAGGAATGCGATGAGCACAGCACCCGCATCATTCAAGCCATCCTATACAATGAGCCCCTCATCCCACCGACGCTCTTTTCAGTAGATATTGCACGGCGTGCTTACCACGCGGCGCGCGCCTGCGCCTACATCTGTCTGAGGGCACTCAGCAGACAAGAGTCGAGGGATCGTCTTTCGCACCCCTGGGCCAGGGGCAGTCACAGTTCGGAATGACGAAATCCTGCATCCCACCACTGATCAGAACTTTCCCAGCGAGCAAGAGAGGTAGCAAGCCCGCGAAGATGATGCCGATAAACGCAACGCACGCGGTCAACGAGCCGATGATACTGCGCCAGTAACCGAACCGCTCGGCCGCAGCGCCCATTAACAGCAGTCCGCGCAGATCAGACGGTTTGAGTCAGGTCGGTCGGTAGATGCATTGTCGTTCACACATCTGGCGGATCTTAGAAAATATCTATTCGAGACGTCAGATGTTTCCCTTGAAATCATAATCCAAATGATTACTGGTATTCTTGAGGAATATTATAGCGTCTGATCACATAATAGCTCAGCTTCGTCCAAATCACCTATACTCGCCCTGTGCCTGTGCCTTAGGTGGCTCATCATGGAAAGAATAGACAAGCAGAACCCTTACAACCCGCACCGCCTCAACTCCGCAAATACCGACTCCTCCCTCCCTATCAGCCGCCCCGGCGCATCCATCTCCACCACGCGCCCGCAGTCCAGCACAGCAACCATGTCCAGCTCCACCAGTATCTCCACCTGATGGGCAACCATGACAACCGTATGCTCCGCGAACTCCCTCCTCAACACAGCCTGCACCTTCCCTTCCGCCTCGTGATCCACCGCACTCGTCGCCTCATCCAGCACTACAACCCGCGCCGTGTCTTTGCGAAGGACAGCGCGCGCCAGACAGAAGAGCTGCTGCTGGCCTGGCGATAGCCCCAGGCTCTGCATTGGCGTGTCCAGAGGATTTTCCCCGTTGGCTTTCTCGTGGATTGTAGTCCAGAGATCGAGTTTGGTGAGCGCCGTCCGGATGCGTTGATCAGAGTACTCTGTTGTCTCGGTTGGATGGGTGTGGATGTTGTCCGGCGGGGTGAGGGTCATGTTATCGCGCACGGAGCCAGGTAGGAAGAACGGTTCCTGGGGGATCGTAATGATGCGGTTGCGGAGGTGTGTGCGCGACACGGACCGGATGTCGTGTCCGTCGATGAGGATCGATCCTGTGGAGAGATCGAGGAGGCGGAGTAGGGTTGCCAGGAGAGTGCTCTTGCCGCTGCCGGTGCGGCCGCATATACCGAGTTTGGTGCCCGCGGGGATGGTGAAGGTGAGGTCTTGTAGGGCTGGTGGGTGGGGCTTTGTCCTGGGGCGGGGGCTGGAGCTGGGGATGGGGATGGTGTTGGTACTGGCAGTACTACTCCAAGAGGCGCTTGCATGGTCGAAGATGATCTCTCCGTGTGTCGGCCAGGTGGCCGGAGGGGCTGGATACTGGTCCCTGTCATCCGTTTCCTGCGGGGTAACCTGTGCGGTGGACCTGATGCGGGCGATGGCGCCTAGGGAGGTCTCGAGGGTGGTCCAGTAGGTAAAGAGCATTTCGAAGGTGGCGTTGAAGCCGAGGATGCTGTTCAGGGCCAGGCCGATCTGGCCGCCCGAGCTGGACGCTCGGAGTGTCACGGCCAAGCTTACCAAGATCACCGCCAGGCTTCCAATAAGCAGCTGCAGAACGAGGTCGAGCCATCGCTGGATGCAGTACAACAAGTAATACGGTTTCTGGGACTCGTCGAGCAGCTGGTTGCTGCGGGCCATGAAGGCGTGCTGCCAGCCGAACGCGCGGATTGTGGTCAGTCCTTCGAGCGTCTCCATAAAGTGTGTGTACAGGGGGCTTCTGGCCTCGAGGTCGAGGAATCGGATCTGCCGCGAGGTGCGCAGGTAGACTTTTTGGAGCAAGTACACGAGGCAGATCAGTCCCGGTATGGTCAACGCCATGAAGCTGGAGCCTGTCGCGATGAGGCCGATTTGGACTAATCCATTGGCCAGGGCTGGATTGATCATTAGATGGCACTCTCATCAATCATGGCACCCTGGGGTATCCCAACCTTGAAGCGTGATTATCATGGAGGCCGGGAGCATGGCGTCCACCAAGGTCATGTCCTGACTGAACAAATTGAGGATTGTACCGCTATCGGCTCGGTTAAAATAAGACTGGGTGGCGCGCGTCACAGTGTCAATGAGGATTTGATGCAGATTGGCCCCTGACTTGGGAACCAGATGGATAAACACGATTCTGTGGTGTGTCGAAGCAGTCAGTCACTGGTCCCAGAATTCTGTTCAATTTTGGTTATCCGACCTCATGGATAGGTAGAAGGCAGCAAGGCAAGTCAGTGCTATTACCGCGTAGACAGCACAGAACGCCGCGGTGTTACGGACGGCGCCAGTGGTGTATAACTCCAGCCAGATTTCTGCACTCATTAGCCTCATTGGCCTATATTCAAGTAGAAGATCATGACCCAGGCACATACGTGGAAGGTAAGTGGTGACCGCAACCAGGGCGACCATCACCAGAATCATCATAGAGAGCATCCACCCAAACGAGTCGGCGTAGTATTTGTACACCGCAAGGTCCCCCGTCCGCCGACTCAAGTCACTGACATCCGTCGCCGTTGGTCCCCGGGCTGCCTTCGGAAGGGGTTTGCTCGCCTTGTTCTGCGTCGATGCTGCATCCAATACCTCCTCTTGCAGACCAACGTCGGCGCTCGCGACCTCCTGCAGCAATAGTTCCGGCGCACTCACTTCTCTGTTGAAGTCAGCCCCGGATCCCTGGTAGGCCACATTCCCCGAGCGATTCAAGGCAATAATTTGATCGGCTAGATGCAGTTGTCGGATTGCATGAGTCACTAGGATGACAGTGAACCTGTTGCGTCGAAGTATCCCATTTGGTCCAAACAGGTTTTGCACTATCCGAGACTCTGTCTTTGTATCCAGAGCGCTAAGGACGTCGTCTAGCAAGAGAACGGATCGGCGACTGTACAGTGCTCGAGCCAGGGCCTAGGAGGGTAAGCTTAGCATAGCAGTCGACCCGAATCGAGATGCAGGTGGCGAGATAGATACTTACCACGCGCTGTTTCTGACCACCACTCAGTGTCACTCCCCGGCTGCCAATGAGACTATCATCCCCTTGCGGCAGCCGCTTGACGTCGACATCGAGAAGACAGGCTCCAAGCACAGTAGCGTACCAAGTCTCATCTAGCTCTTCGGCCCCGGGGCCGACAATAGCGTCTCGAAGCCGGAGATTCTGCAACCACGGAGACTGACAGCAGAACGCGATATCGCGGCTATTGACTTCGATGCTGCCGACGGTGGCACATGCCTCGCCCAGGATTGCTTTTAGGAGCGTGCTTTTCCCCGAGCCGACGGGGCCAATGATGAAGTTAATTGAACCAGGGAGGACTTGCCAATTAATCTGGGACAGAACAGTCTCGTGCTCTGGTGCTGGGCGGATATCGGTCTTATAGAAGGAGATAACCGGGCGATCAATCGACTTCGAGGAGAGGGGTTGTAGGAGAATGCCCGACTTCGCACTGCCAATATCATCAAGGCTTGTAGCCTTGACTGTGGTTTGGTTTGGTCTTGATAGATAGGCATGAATTCGATCGATGCATCCCATCGCCGAGATTAGGGTCGGGTAGGAGGCAAGAAGCTCTCTCGCGGGGTCAGTCAGCAACGAGATAATAGCCAGGGTGCCAAACGCCTTGTCGGTAGTCAAGCGCTGGGACTGAACGGTATAGATCAGGAAGACCAGGAAAGGCCCAATTTCGACCGGGATCATTGCTACGTGCTTTGCGTTAGTGCTTGCGCCTGACAGAACACACAATGGGGAAGATAGAGGCTGACAGATTGTGTTGCGCCAGATCCCAAATACCCGGAAACTTGCTCCGAGGTGCAATTCACGAAGTCGCTGCCCTTGAATGGTTCGGTTCATGCGCTCCGACATGCCCATCATTTTGATGCTCTTCATGCCTCCCAGGAGGGATGAAGTCAGCGCGACCCGACGTTGCACTGCGCCAACCCAGGCTTTCTGCGCGGGTCCGATCCTCTTGGCCACCTGGAGCGATGCGTAGAACGAGCCTGTGCAGGATTAAAAGCTTAAGGAGGCGCTCTCAATTGCAACACGAAAGAACGATAGGAGGCTGGAGGCATCGTACCAACAAGGGCGACTGTGGGACCGATACAGATCCAGCCCACCTGCCGCTCCAAGAGCCACAATCCTATCGCCAGCTCCACGGTGCGCGCCCATACTTCGGCAATCTGGCGCAAGCTGAACGCGACCCGATCCACGTCCGTGCTCATGAGGGTGACGGCTGCAGACTCATCGGGGGCTTCAGTAAGACTCAGGCTTTTGGCGTAAATCTGTGCGACCATGGCTCCGCGAAACATAGTAATCATGCGATACACTTGGTGCTGGTAATGGGCCGTGGAGAGCTGAACTTATGTGTCAACGTCTGCAATTTCCCAACAATGATGGAGTTGCGTGCTTCATACCGCGATCCCGAGATAAACCACTCCGGTTGCTGCAATCAAACCATAACCGTCACTCTTACTACGGGCTGGACTTGTGTCGCTAACATAGCTGATCACTCGTGTGATGAGAAACGGCTGCGCATACGTGAAGCCAATCAGGCACAGTCGGGGGAACACCGTCCGGAGAAGCGGCAGCTTGAAGCAATGGAAGAGGGCGACCCCCAAAGAGACGCGGCGCTCAGATTGATCTGCCTTGTCTTTAGCCGACTGTATCTGGCTGACGTTTTAGGATCGAGACATACACTTCGCCCACGTGGTCTGCATGCGATCATGCAACGGTCGAGCAGACAGCTTTTGGTCCACCCGATCGAGATCTTGAAGGCTCAAGTTCCTCCGATATCCGCGCAAGAACAGCGGGCTCAACCACCAAAAAAAGCTGCGATTGATGATCCCACTTGTGGTCTCCGGGGAATATTTATTGCGAAAAGCATCGTACAGCCCGGCACGCTTGTTGACTATCTCAAGGAGCAAAAGGACAATTTCGGTTCCCAAAGCGACAGAGGTGATGATGGATAAATTGCTCAGGTGTCTGCGGAGGTAGAGGCTTCGCAGCTGAGCTGCGTTAAACAGACTGTCGAACAGGAGATAGATGCAGAGGAGCGAGGATGGGCGCTCGGATCGCGTATGTTCCAAGAGAGAGAGCGCAAGAACGGCGCCGCTTCCCAACAATGATAGGGTGGCTGATGCAATAGAGGCTGAAGTTACAGGTTGAATACACCATAGAGTCAGCAATGCCACGCGAAGGCCGAAAAGAATGGTCGTGACTGTCTGAGATTGAGCCACGAGCTATGTAAGTACTGATTACTTCACGGAAGAGATCTAGTGTTTCTTTTTCATGTCTTACTGCTTTTCCGATCCCTAGAGAATGAGAGATCGGGACTTTTTTAGGGCTTCGAAGGAGCTGTACCAGGCGTAGCGGTGCCAACAGGATCAGGAGGATAGAAGGGACCAGTTCGAGAATGCTCTGTTCGAATAAGAGGGTGAAGTCGAAACGAATGAGGCAGTCGGAGAGTGAGGGGCCAAACCTCTGATCCTCACTCCGACAATTATACGCCATGGGAGAGAAGAATGTTGGGAAATATTGAGGTCACGGGAAGGGGCGGTTGGAAAAGGGAGGAGGGGCGGAGAGTAAGATATATTATAGGTTACGTTTATCGTGGGGAAGGGGAGGGGGGTAGCGATTGTCCATTTCACAACAAACTAGACCCTAAATAAATAAGCCAGAACTGATAAGAGCTGAAGATCAGGTTCTAGGCACTTTTCTGACTGTGCTGAAGCTAGGCATCAGCGTGGTGAGAATAACTTGATATGTAGGATTCTTATTTTTCCATTTTGGTATTCGAGCAGCAGGGAATCGATTATGATTGAGAGCAAGAGAACAAGAACGCTTTTCATAGGAAGATGTGGACCAAAGTAATTACACCATTTATGGGAACACAGCATTGGAGTCAAAGACAGGGATGTTGACTAATCGCTATCACAGCCCGTCAATTGGTTGTGATCTCAGTCTTGTCTCAGTCAGGGAAATCCTTCATCGTGCCATCTTCCAATTTCGAACTCTGACGTCTTGTACTGCGTATACTGCGTGGCCCATTCGTGGATCTTGGAGAAATTCCTACATATATGCTGGGAGGAGAAGTTGGCCTTCCAGATGAGATCTCGGGCCCATACCACACAGATGCACCCACGCTTTGGTCAGCTTCTGCTGCGCGTCGAAGTCGCCGGACTGCTCGGTGTCCCATCATAGAGGCTGCTCCAGGAGCTAATCAAGGCCCTCAGCGGATGAAACGGCTTGAGGAGTCTTGTCTTGACGCCGGTTGCAACCGTATCCGTGCCCGGGCGCTCGTAGGGCCGATATTTCAACACGTCTCCCGGCCAGTTGGTGGTGCGCCACAGACTGGCCCCGCGGTTAGATTTCGCCTTGAAAGCCCTAATGTTTGCTAAGGTGTTGGCTTTGGAATATGGGGCGTCTATGACCGCGCTGGTCTATTCGATATCCTCGAGGAAACGGGCGGCTTGGAACCCCTCTTCTCTTAGGGATTTGCATCGTGATGTAAAACATTAGGCGCGACTAGAAAATGTACCGTGATTTTTTCAAAGGGTTCAAGGCTATTTCACTGCAGACCGAACTCTTCGCCTGAGGCCTGTGGATCTCTTTTATCTCACACTCTTCCCTCTGAGTATGACATGGCCGCAACTGGACTTCGTGATGGAGGCTTATCTGTCCATCTTCTTATTGCTTCCAGTCTACAAGTCTAATCGACGTAATGTTGTTCGTTAGACCGGGGGATCGATCAATTTGATGCAAGATTAAGTGCATGATTCGACTGGTATGCTAGTAACTTTGTTAGTTTTGTATGTATGTATGTGCGTATGTGAACATTACTGTCGTTACGACTAAATGTAAGGCTGTATTCAGCTATACTGTATCGGTGTCAGAAACTAGTAATAGTAACCACGGGCAAGATATGGACGGGATCGAGCTCCACCCAGACGCCATGCGGGCCGAACGGTCCACAACTCCACACCCTATCTTTCCCGCAAGATACGAAAAATGCCATCTGGGGTTCAACCAAGTAGGGGCTAGCTAGATAGACACTGTCGCATATATCCAGCAATCCAAACCTATCACGCGACAGTCGCAGTCTCAACATCCACCAAATATATCCTTCCCTCATAAGGCCTTAGCGCCTCCATCCCATCCCCCTCATAATTCCCCACCAGCACTCTCCAGCTCTTTCCCTTTAGCAGCCCTTCCAACTCCTGAACCTCCCTCACCTCCGTCCCAAAATTCAGCGTGACAACCAATTTCTCCCCCCGCCCCAACTTCTCAAACACCAACACTTCTTCATTCTCCGGATCCACATCCCGATACACCCCCGCCGCAAACACCCCCGGAAACTGCTTCCTCACGCCCAACAACGCCTTCCAGAACCCCAGCACCGAATCTTCCTGGTCAGTCTGTCCCTTCACATTCACCTCCTTGAAGTTATCATGCACCCGCATCCACGGCTTCGCTTCCGCATCCGTGAACCCCGCCTGCGGCGCCGCGCTCCACTGCATCGGCAGCCTGGCGTGGTCACGCGCCAGATAATCCAGCGCCTGCTTGGCGTTCTGTATCGCGACGGGGTCATTATCAGTGCTTTCCTGCACGTAGCGGTAGTAGTTCACACTATCGACGTCCTTATACTCCCCCACATCCCAGTGGTTGGGGGCATTCGTCATACCGATCTCCTGGCCCTGGTAGAGGAACAATGTACCGGAGAGGCTAGCGACGAGCATAGCGAGCATCTTCGCGCTTTTCTCCCAGTGCTTGCCCGGGCTCCCCCACCGGGAAACGCAGCGCGCTTGGTCGTGGTTCTCGAGGAAGGCGGTGCTCCACCCATCCGTCGACCCGTCCATCAGGGTCTGCGTGGCGGCGACGCGGGCGCGCAGGTCAGATAGCGTCCAGGTGTGTGGGACTGTGTTGAAGCGCAGGTCGGCGCCCATGTTGCAGTCGACGATGTCAAATTGGAAGACCATGCTGAGCTGGTTTGCGGCTGCGGAGACGTAGCGCAGCACATCCGAACGGTCCGGGGTGGCGGGGAGCTCGCCGACGGTGATGGCGTCGCCGTGCGGTCGGTATTTACGGAGCACCTGGTTGATCTCGGTGAGAAACTCGGGCATGCGCGGTCCGTTGCAGAAGAGGGAGGCGGCGGGTTGGTAGGGGTTGGATGGGTCGAGGATGGGGGCGTCCGGGAAGTCTTGGGGTTTGCTGTACATGTTGACGGTGTCGACGCGGAAGCCGTCGATGCCGCGTTGCAGCCAGAACTCCATGGCGGAGGCGTACAGGGCCTGGCGGGTAGCGGGGTTCTCCCAATTGAGGTCCGGCTGCTGCGGAGCGAAGAGGTGCAGGTAGTATTCCTGAGTGGGCTCGTCCCAGGCCCAGGCGCTGCCGCCGAAGAAGCTGCGCCAGTTGTTGGGGGGCTGGCGCTGGCGCGTGGCCGGGTCGTAGCGCGGCGGCCGCCAGATGTACCAGTCGCGTTTTGGGTCGGTGCGCGAGGAGCGCGAGGCGCGGAACCAGGCGTGCTCGTGCGAAGTGTGGTTGATGACCAGGTCCAGGAGGATGCGCAGCCCGCGCGCGTGGCAGCCGGCTATCAGGGCTTCCACGTCCGCGACCTTCCCGTACGGCGCGTACACGGCCTCGTAGTCGGAGATGTCGTAGCCCATGTCGTACTGCGGGCTGTCGTACATCGGGCACACCCAGATGGCGTCGACGCCTAGCGATTGGATGTAGTCCAGTCGGCTGATAATGCCGGGGAGATCGCCGATGCCATCGCCGTTCGAGTCTTGGAAACTGGCCGGGTAGATCTGGTAGATGCTGGCGTTTTTCCACCAGGGAGTCGGGGCCATTTTTGTTACAAGACGAAGATGAAGAACTGAGAGAAAATAGGGAGGGGAGGCAGATACATAAATGCGACAGCTGCACCACAGACCTCTCTTATCTACCTGGTCATACATACATGTTACAACACATCGATCCCCGCTGTCCCCCGCTCTCTCCACCTTCGGGCTATTTTATTGGCCCGATGTCGGGCCGAGATGCGCTTAACACACTCCCTTAACCTCCCCTTTCCTGCACGGGCCAGATTAGTCCACAGTTCCAACGGGAATTGTTTGCTCAATATTGGTCTAATACTGGTATGATGCCCACCCCGCATTGCCCTAACGCGGCAATTCTGGAAAATCCGAGGAGCCTGGATGAAGGTCATTGACGCAACGGGCGTGCCACTACGACAGCAGACATGACTGGAAGAGCTTGAGTCCGTCTCTTCAACTACATGACTTCGCTATTGAAACGGGGCGTCGTTAGTAAAGCAAACTCCTCCGACCGGGACTAGAAAATTATGTAGTTTGCTGTGAGGTAAGGTGCCTGTGCTGTGAGCTTCTTAGCATCGAGGAAGCAGCAAGGATATAAGAGAGAACAGCGTTTGATCGCCGACCAGAGAGGCTTACAACGAAAACATCTTCGCGGCGAGATGACAGTGAGATTTAGACTTAAGGAGGACGCGGGCGAGGGGGGGGGTTTATACTCCCGAGGTTGGTGGGTGGTTTCCTGTTTGCTCCCAGCCCGACCGCTCTTTCCCAATTAGATCTATACCGGTATAACCGCTGATTTTCTTGACATTAATAACTATTTTGGTCATCCAAAGGTCGAACCCTTGGACCTTCAATCTCTCACAAGGCACAAGGCAGATAGCCAGCGACGACAGACAGCCACATGATGGGATCATCGCGTTGGCCTCGGGTTCGAGAAGCTTCTCAACAAGTTTGACAATATAATTTCCTTACAGTATCCCCTCCCTGCAAGTCTTCTCGTTCCACTAGACGTCTCTCTCGGAACAATAACTTGCAATTAGTGACCCCCATGACAGCACCCTGTATGCGATGATTAGTATATCGAAACGACTCCAACGGGAATCGGAAGAAAAACACACGCACCGTGATGAGTGAAGCCTCATAGCCCGGTGCCTTCTCCCATTCTAGCGCTCTCAGAATCTCACACAGCGCGACCTTCAAATTGGTAATCGCAAACCGACTGCCCAGACACCGGCGAGCATGACTAGTAAATGGAATATAACGGCCCTTGACCTGTTGATAGCGAAACATCTCATTGATGGCATTGATATCCGCGCCCCAGCGGTCAGGATTGAAGTCACGGGCGTCTGGGCCCCATACGCCGGGGTCGGTGTGTGTGCCGTAGGCGTGCCAGGCCACCCAAGTCCCCGCGGGTATGGGGTGATCGGAGCCCAGACAAACCGGTTGGCTAGTGTATCGGTTGACCATGGACACGAGCGGCGGGTACAGGCGAAGGGTCTCGTATATTATACTGGTGAGCAAGGGCAGACAATGGTCCAGATCGGTCTCGGAGTAGTCCAGGGGCAGACTGGTCACCACCTCGTGCCGTGCTCGTTCTTGCAGCTGTGGGTTGCGCGCCAGCTCCCATAGCGCCGATCCAAGCACCAGGTCGGTGTTTTCCACTCCAGCCATAAACACCTGTTTCAGATTCGACCGAAAATGGTACTCCGAGATGTGGCCTTCATGACGGGCATGTATCAACCGGTGTATCAGCTTGTTATCGTCGCGTCGAGCCTTAATCTCCTCACTGGCGAAGGCTTGGCTCTCGTGCGCCAGGTCCAGGAGAATCCTTTCAAATTCGTCCGCAATGCGCATTCCTTTGCTGCCATTTGGAAAGAGCCAGTGCATCCGTTCCAAGTTGGGGAAGATATTATAAATCGCCGAGAACAGCGGCGTCGTGATGCCTTTCTTCTTTCTTTCGAAGTTGCGCTGCAGGGCGTCGATTTGAAGGGGAAATCGATCGGAGTCCAGGTCCAGAAAGCAGTCCAAGAAGATAATTAGGGTCCATCGGAGTACCAGATTCTCGACCCGGATGCCCGAGCTGGTTCCAAGCGCTGGACCATCCACCTGGTGCTGGGCTCGTAGTAGCTGCTGCGCCAGCTGCGCGGATTGCTGGCGGATGCGCCCGAGATCAAACTTTCGCTGAATACTCGGCTTGATAATGTCCGTGAAATGCTTCCACAGTGGGCCGTGCGAGTCGATGATATTGACACCAAAGAGCCGCGCGGCCGCCGAGTGTGGGATACGCCTGATGCTGCCCCCCTTCACGAAGATCTCATCGTGGCGAAACACCTGCGTCACCAGCGACGGCTCGGTGACCATGATCGTCCATTGTCCCGAGTTCCACACGTTGACTGCCCCGCGCTGCTCGATCAAGGGGCGAATCCGGGTGTCGTAGAACTTGGCTCGGGGAACTCGACGATAGTTGTCGCACAGTGTTTTCCAGACCGAGACAGTGGGAATATCCGGTACGGGGGGTTGTGACTTCTGTACGACGTAGTAGGTGAGAGCTGCCAGGCTGAGGATGACAACGACGATCAGCATGGTTCACTGGTGGAGGGGTGGGGAGGGGGGAAAAAAATGCAGGTTGTAGATCTCAGGTTGACGACATTGGGAATTGTGACGATACCCAGTAGAAGCAGCAACGCGAGCTTCCATGAGTCATATTAAAGAACCGAGAATCCGTTTCTTGGAGTACGGTGAAAAGCCGACAGGGAAGCACTTTGCGGTAGACCGAATCCTGTAGATAAAATTTGGGCTGTGCAGTAGTGTTCATTGGCTCACATCTGGTAAGGCATATGGCCTATCGATCGACCTGATCCGCAGCAGTCAATCAATAAGACTTGATTAGCGCCCAGCGTCCATGCAAGGGCCTCGAACAAAGCTTGAAATATGGCAGCTTCGCTCCAGGCAGCTGAGACCGCAGATGATCTCCGTAATGAGGAACAAATAAGGAAGATAGCCAAACCAATTTCCTGTGGAGCGGAGGGATTCTCACATTATGAATTTACCCTGAAGATCAAAATCCTCGGCGTCTTGGGACGAATTGTCACCTGGACAAACGCACAGCAGGACTAGCGGTATCAGCTACGATTGGAATTCAAGGCCACCACGCAGCCGGGGCAAGAAACCACAGGTAACCACCGTTCGCGGTGCACTTAGTCCAAATAGGGAGACCATAACTTGCATGACAACGACCATTCTCTCGGATGTTGGCACATAGGATCGTCGATCGAACCAAGCCACCGGCTGTCGATCTCTGGCCGATCAGGTTGCGTTCTTGGCGCTACATTGATGGGTCTAGATAGCTCTCAACCCCAGCATATGCGAGTCGCCGTACGTCACCAAGCCTAGGAAGATTCAAAACAGCTTGAACTGAATGAGCTCCAGGATTATCGGAAAGCTGCATGTGTTTGTATGTCTTTTTTTTTTTTTCTTTCCCCTTCATTTAACCATTTGCAAGCCCTGTTCCACGCACCTTCAGACCGGCGAATAGACTCTGCTGAGCTGCGAGCCCTGCATGGCTTGGACGCAATCTCGACTTGATTTGTGTCATATCAAGTATGATATCATCGCATTCTCCGCCGGCTTACATGAGGAGAAAGTAGACAGATAATGATAAGTAGCCGCGCGGTGAAACCGATATATACAACCATCAAATAAGGGTATGTCCCTTGCCAAAACACTGAAACTCCCACTAGATTGACGGAGAAGACAAAGAGTTGAACGATGCATTCATCGCCGATTTCAGCCTCTCAGATAGCTTGTCTAGAGACAGTGAGTCTCGTTGGCCTTCGTGAGGGGTCCCCAGCTGCGGTCCAGGCGCTCCTTCGCGCGGCTCGAAAACAGGGTATCTTCTATCTTGACCTGAGCAGCATCTCTGCCGATGGAGATACCGTAACGCGGCTTTACCAACTCGCGCAAGACCTGTTCCGGCTGCCACTGGAGCAAAAGATGCAGTACGATGTGGATCGATTGGGAGAGTGGAAAATCAATGGGTGAGTGGATCTACACACCGACTCGCAGCGCGACATAATCTAAGACCTCGTTGATAGGTATAAGCCCGTGGGTCGAAACGTGGGTGGGTTGTCTGGTGAACGGGATGGTTTCGAGAGTTACGGCGTATGGTGTCCAGTGATCCCGGAATAGATCTGAAACGCTAACGTACTGAAGATCCCATGTCATGCTGTGTTGAACCCTACTGGACAAGGGTCATTTGCAAAGCCGGATATTCTAGAACAGGAGCTGGAGCTGGTCCGTCGGTTCATGCGGGGCTGTACGGAAATGGTGGAAATCATCCTCCGCACCCTGTCTGCCTCCCTCCCCCTCCCGGGGGGCATCACGTTCGAAGCCTTTCACCGGGAGGGGGATGCCTACTTCAACCTTCTCCGTCTGCTACGCTATGAGCCCAGTTCGGACGGCGATCTCCGATTTCGAGTGCCGCAGCCCGCGCATACCGATTTGGGTTCCGTCACCGTCTTATTCACTAATGCGGGCGGCTTGCAGATTCTAGACCCTGGCGCCAGGGCGGACGAGTGGCTGTATGTGGCTCCCCGGCCAGAGTGTGCAATTGTCAATCTTGGCGACGCCATCTCCATCTGGACTGATGGGCAGATGCGCAGCATCCAACACCGGGTGGCCTCGCTTCCAGGTCAACCCATGGCCGAGCGCTACAGCCTGGCCTTTCTGGCTCGTCCAGGCCCGGTGGCTCCCATGTGCCCGTTGCTAGCCAGTGAATCTTTCTCAACCAAGGGGTCGCAGGGGGCCCTGCGATGCGAGGACTGGATGAAGGAGAAGTTTCGGCGCTTAAGGGGTGACACGCGAAAGGATCTCTGTGGTTCCTGTGCTGTGGTGAAGAGTGGCTAGCTGGCGATCAGGAAGAGGATGTAATCTTTGAATCTTGCGCCATTTCCTGTCACCTTGCTTTCTGTCACCATTCTGGGGGTGCTTTCCCATATCGTTGCTCTCATATTCTTTTTTCCACCTCTTTATCAGTCTTCTCGAATTCTGTCTAATCAACCCACTCATTCCTACGATGAGCAGCAGTAGACATTCTTACGGATCCAGCGTGTATGACAAAATCGTCTACCTCCGCTTGTTCATTCTCAATAAATCGACCTACCACATGCGTTATTTTTTACTCATAATTCGGACTAGCATTTAGTAGACAAGTTCCATTCCAGCAAGATCAAATCAATACTGCAAAAACTCCCCGCGTAACTCACTCCAGCCTATTTCCCAAGCCTCAACGGCACCTCACAGATCCGCAATCAAGGCCAGTTTCTCACCGCGCAGCTCAGCCTTTCCATTCTCTTGATCCACTCGAGGCGGAGGCTGCTTCTTTAGAATCGGCTTATTGTGCAGCAGCCGAAACCCCAACTTCCGACACAAGTCTGCACTCTTGTTGCCCTGCTTAACAATCGCGTAGACCCACTGTGCTCCCTCGCGTTTGGCATCGACGAGCTGCGCGCGTGCGGCCGCCGCGGCCACGCCTTGACTCCGGAATTGAGGTCGAATGCTTCCCAGCTCGACGTAGGCCACCCGCTCTCCTGTGGCCGGAAGATCGAGATAGTGGACAGCCCCGCTGCCAGCGACGCAGTCGTCAATCCACACCAGATAGAGCTGTGTTTTGCGCGCGCTCGCCGTGATCCGCGCCATTGTCTCGTACCTCTCGCGCGACGACCCATCCCCCCCCTCGAACCCGTCCGCGCACGCGACGATGAATCTCTCGCGGTCCTCTGGCGTGATGGCTGGTGTGACCCGAATTATCTGGTTGGCGCTGTCGCCGACCACACCTGCAGCAGCTGCTGCAGAGGACGGCGGCATTTCGCCAAGTGAGATGTCACTCAGCGAGCGCACGTAAACATCCACAAACGCCGCCAAGGTGAACCCCCGCGCTTGCAGCGCTGCAAACACCCACCGCGAGGTCCCCGGCTGCAATCGGATGATTGCAGGCCGGTTGTGCGCGAAATACAGCGCCTCGATGGAGCGGATGCTCTCCTCGGTCGGCTCGCTGTCCCCTTCCAGGCCTGTGGCGTAGTTGAACCGTGGGCTCGCAATGGTGGGCGCCAGCACGGCCACGCCTCCGCACTGGAGATCCAAAACGATGGGGTCCGCGCTGGGTATCAAGCGGGCCAGGGCATCCATTTGCTGCCGCAGTTGCGCGCATTCTGCTTGCTCGATGGTGCGAGCGAGGTCTTGGGTTCGTTTCGCGGTGGGAGTGGTAGACATCATTGCTGGATTTAGAAGGGTCTGAGTGGATGAAGGAATTGGCAACTCGGTGGGGGAGGACGATGGGTGGGAAGGGAGGCAGAGACGAGGTGAACGACGGAAGGGTGTCAGATGTATTGAAAGCACAGCTGTTATTCTTGTTTAGTGATTAGGTAGCCTGAGGCATAATATCTACTGTAACTGCAAGCTCGTGATGATTACATGTTTACCGTCTTCAGGTCGATAGGCATCATGGCTCGGGGGATGTGCTAAGCGCCCGTACATGACCCTTGCTTCCTGGACGCCGCGCTGCGCGATGTTTGACAAACAAGAGTCAAGGGAGCTCCGACAGATCTTGAGTTGACTTTTGATTCCCTCCCCAGAAGGACGTCCGAGACAAAGTAATGCATTTACATTACAACTAAAGCAGGTACCTGGCCATCAAGGTCTCGTGCAATCCAAATCGTCGATACCATCGCAACCCCCAACGGAAACGCGAGCAATGATCAAGTTCCATATTCCTGCATTGAAGGTCAAGAGGTTGAGACATAACAGCGTGACGCGCATGAGCAAAGGACGGAGAGACAGCACTATGTCGTATACAAATATAGTTCATACTAAGGGGTAAATTGCGCATGCAGAAACCCGGAGTGGCACAGACGTGTTCAAAATAGACTGCTCGAGTCCTCAGGGCAGCTGCCTTGCGCTCAACCTTGAGACTTGCGCATTTACCAGGGCGCGCCAGCTCGGTGGTGCAATCGATCAAACACCACAGATCAAACATTGGTCCCATCGTAAGTGGCAAAGGGCCTCCGGCAGCGGGAGCCGCACAATGACGGCCGGAACTTGACTCCTCTCTCCCAGCGCGATAAGGATTTTTCCAGGGTCCTGGAGAAGATTGCTTCCAAGAAAGGAGTGGACGTGCTGCTTTTTGCGCTCGGCTATGTCATGGGCAAGGCCCCGTACGTTTCCCGATTGTTGGGGCCCGGAAGGTATCCCATATCGAGGGCAGCATAGCGGGTATCGCAACGACCCTGACTGAAAGGAAATTGATGAGGTCGAGTCGGTCTATGACTTTGACGTCGGTTTCCCCCATACATTTCTCGCAAAGTTGTTGTTTCCTGCCGACTACCCGGCTGAATACTGGATGACAAAACAGCTGGGCGAAGGCGACTGGGTGGAATCTTCCAAGTCTATCATCCACAGCTGGCATGGAATCGACCAATTCATGGTGCCACACGTCATCACGAATCATGTTCTTAATCAGCCTCCTCGCAGGCACGAGCATTAGTTGGCCTTCACAAACTAAATTCACCAATTGTAGGACTAAGGCCCCGAGCAAGCCGTTTTTCCCCGCGACGAGCCCGCCAACGGTCGGTCGAAGGCCTCCGCTCGGGGCACTTCTGAGCCCTTTACCTTCACTTGCGCACTACCGCATCGGACATTTCCCAGCTCTCCATCTCCCACGGCGGGTCGCATATCAACAGAGCCGGGTCGACGCGTCTTTGTCCGCGTTCCAGAACCCCATGATATCCACGCCGAGCTGCCCATCGTCAAAATGATCCGCCAGCAGGATCAACCAACCCCTATTTTGGGATGCGGAAAGAAGTCCAACCACGGATGTTCGGCACGGTACACTGTACGGTCGGGGAGACGGTGGGCCACCGTATCTCAGAATGCCGATTGTTTGCCGGCGCAGGTAGGGTGTCAGTGCTCCTTGTTCGAGAGCTTGTCGCAGTATCGATGGCTCTGTCTTGAGATTAGGGCAGCCAGGATGAGGCAAGAAGACCCACAACGGGCTCGCTGATTGATGCGATTCTATTCTGCATCTTCCGCCACTCGGTTTGCGGATCTACGATACGCAGGGTACATAGAACTGGAGGCAAACTGGGAGAGCAATTGTTGGCGCAGATTAGGTGAATTGAAGAAAGTATACTGGATGACTGTCAGTACTTCGTACAAAGCGGGGCAGAAAAAGCGAGAGAACTGGTATGATAAAGGCTGTCTCCACAACGTCCGTGCACGTGGCGTGTGCTGATAGCATTAGCCCGAAACGGTAACCACGCCTTACCTCTACAGGCCTAGTGTTATCCTCCGAAGTATATCCGAGCCCTTATCTCCGGCCGCATCTGTTGGACGCACAGCAGTTGTGCAGAATTCGCTCCTGGGTTTGAATGGGTATTTCTCGGGTTTGGAAGTGATTAATGTTGATTGTGCCACTCACACGTACACTCCTTGGCCAGATGGTTTTACCTCGTACAACACTTCAAGGTCAGCTGGCCAAAGCAGGTTTAATAGCTAAGCACCTTGACCTGTACTGTGGAAATAATACTTAGAACAAAAGAGTAGAAATAGAAGGACTCTCGTTTATGTTCGAAGGAATTTCATATAAAAAACTATATTTACAAGCTATCTTCTAACCATTGTAGATTCTTTGGTTCATTTTCAAACACTATATGTAGAATAGTGTATGGAATATATACATTTAAAGTATAGCTTGTAAGATAAGACTCTACGGCTAATCAGTACCAGATTACTATCACTGCATATCACACTGCGTAAATGTCAGACCATCTGGCCTGGAAATACAGGTGGCAGTGCTTGCTATACACTGACCATTTTCTCAGAGCAGCCAACTCGCTATCACAATTGCCTGTGCCGCAATCCATGATCCATGCTCATGCTTCCTGAAGCAGAAGAGTGTCAACCTAGAGAGGACTTTGCAGTCTGTTCTTATGCAATGGAAAAACTTCGCTCAAATCTTCGAGAACGATAAAGAGTCTAGAATCAACTAGAGGGAGTATCTAATATGGATCATTTGAATTATCTATAATTGGTTAGATTGGCCCGCCAGCTCGTAGCAGGGATCAGACTACAATATAGAGCGAGGCTGGTGATTTAACCTTGTCTTCGCACTCCGATCACATTGATCTATCTTGTGGAACAATCGCCACCATCGACCAAACCATTGCAGAATTTGAGCACCAGCTGGAATTGTCTCATCTACTCGTTTGATCTTTCTTCATCACCTCTGCAAGAAGCGGGGATGCCAGCTCAATGCCAGAGACCTGGACAATCTCTTGGAACCGTTGGATGATCCACTTCCGAGCCCGACCTGCTGTAGCTTCCGATATTCCAGCCATGTATAGGCACCAAATGAGCATATATGCTCCGGACACGCTGGTCCCAGGAGAAGGATTATTGGCGGAGAACTCAAAAGGACTTGATGGCGAAGACACGATACCCATAGCCTGCGGAACCGTGGCGAGGACATCCTCGCTCAGCCGGGAGAGAATCTCGCGTGTCTCGTATAGCTGCTGCTGACGCAACTGGACGCAGGCGGCTGGGGCAGCTACTTCCCGCGCCAGAAGGCTCTTCAGAAGGTAGCAAATCACTTCGCAGAGGATGATCTGGATACAGCGGGCGTTGTTCCAGGCTCGGATTGACCATACAGATGGGTACAGGTCGGTACGGTCGGCGTAGATCAAGCGAGAATGACGCTCGGCCAGAAGTCCTGCCATCATCAACTCGTTCGTGGTTGCAGTAAAATACGGCTCTTGGACGGCGAGCATGTCCATGCCACGTTGGAAGTCCTGACGCAGCGCCAGCGCCGCAGCGAGAATCTCCGGCCAGAGAGCTGGATCTGGGTTCTTCATCACCCGCGCCAACAGGTCGACACACCAGGTAGCGAGGATTCCAATATGCCAGATCGCGTTGGCCGGGTCCACGTGCTTCGTGGCCTCCTCCTGGAGCTTTCGTAGGTCATCCGGAAACGGCCGGCTCAGGCGTGTGCAGGCAATAATCATGTCCGTCCGAACCTGGGTGAAGAGGAGGATGGCGAGCGGGCTGCGGGCAAATTGATCCCTGCCGCGGAGGACGGCGAGCGCGGCCGCCCCCTCTACGTGACGGACCCAGGAGTCGAACTGGGAGAAGTGCTCGAAGACACCTAGGGAGATCACAGCCATCAGCGTGCTGTCCTTGACAGACTCCACTGGCGAGGCTAAGGCGGCGTTGACGCTCCGAATCGCTTCGGCGTACTTGAGGCGGGCCTGCCGAGCTAGCTCGGGCTGATGGCCGGAGTTCGCCAGCGCCCCCAGGCCCACCGCTGCCAGGCTGGCGACCAAGGAGGGGTGGTCGTCATTGGCGCCAAGCGTGGCCGGAATGTACTTGAGGTAGCCACGCGATGGACTATGATCGTCGGTTACGAAGTGGTGGAGGAAATAATTGACGCCGATTTGGTCCATGTTTGGGCAGGGATTGGGTGGGGGCAAGGGGCTATGCACCATCTCGGTCGGAGCTGCCGCACTGGGGCTTTGGGGTCTTGTAGCATGAATCCGAGACCGTTGGATGGTTCGGTTGGTCTGGTCGCGAAATACAAGCTCCCAGGGATCTCGATAGCCCCGGCATTGTTCTCCGAGGCGGGTGCATTGCCCGCATTGGGGACGCTGCTGGTCGCACTGTGTTGCTGTAATTAGTATCAGATTCGAATCGATTTTCAAAGGGTACAAGAGGAAGACGAGGAAGCAATGTCACGTACACGTCGTTTAATCGCTCGACAATTGCCACAGTTTCGGGAGACTCGTGGACGTGGCTGAGGCATATTTCTTTGGTGGGGGGGGGGTTTGGAGAATGAAGAAGTTTGAAGATAAGCAGGGGGTGTGGAGAAGGAGGAGCAAGACTGGTTTGCGAGATCCGGCCGCGCGCCCCACAACTACTCCCGTCAGCACTAAGCCTCTTGCGGTAGGCGAGATGCTCAGAGGGCTGTGTATACTGAGGTACTCAGCTCAGTCTGATCTGGTCAAACCATAAATACGCATTCTCTGCCAGTGCATACTGCCTTGAATTCAATTCCTCCTCAACTTTCAGACTACCACAAGCATCTCATACACTTCCCCAATCTTTACCTCACAATCCTCAATCGAACACAATGGGCACCGTGACCTACCGTGATGGAATCGCTATCCTACAGCTCATCATATTCCCCTTCATTGTGGTCGCCGCCTTATTCATCTGGAACCGCACGGGCTGGAAAGCTGGCAGCAAGATCTGGCGGTTTGCAGTCACCCTTTCGCTCATTCGGATCGCTGGCAGCATCTCGTCGCTGCTGACCATCAATAATGATTCATACAACGTTGAAGTCGCCGTGGCCGTGTGCGAACTAATTGGAATCGCGCCCTTGTTACTCACATACGTCGGCTTGTTGAGGCAAATGTGAGTGGACTGGGAATGTACATCTGATCTGGATACGGACTAGAGAGCTAACTATGGTGATTGAATCAGTGACACGCAACAAAGCCTCCCTCCTCGGCTCATCAACGGAGTGGCCATCATCTGTGTCATTGGCCTGATACTTGGTATTGCCGGTGTCAGTAGCGCTAGCGACAATGGCACCTATCATCCCGATAGCATCGTCAAAGCGTCGATGGGCATCTTCCTCGCGGTCTTCGTCATCATTCTTCTCCTTACCTATCTGCTCTTCGTCCGAGTTCGGCCCACCATGCGGGTGTTCCAGAAGAAGCTCTTTCTCGCCATTGCCTGCTCTTGTCCCTTGCTGGTTGTTCGACTGGTTTACTCGGCGCTCGGAGATTTCACTACAGATTCCCGGTTCACGGTACTCGTGGGAAGTCCCACCATCTATCTGTGCATGGATGTGCTGGAGGAAATCTTCGCCATGATTATCACCATGGTGCTTGCAGTATCTGCTGTGTTGGAGAAGGACTTTGTCCAGCCGGGCTCCATCAGGCAACCTGAAGAGGGGAAAATCGAGGGGGTATAAGGCCGTTTACCGTGGCGACGGCAGGAGACTGTTCTAGTGTGATGTTGTATAATTGGTTTTGGTTTCCGAGAGTATCTTTCCTTATTCGAAGATCGCATATCTATAGAGTTTCCGCACTGTCCACATTGTTTCAGTTTGTACTGAATGATAATCATCCCTGTTCATGCCCTTATACTGAATAAGTATCACACATAGGCCGACAAGTGCTGTAGGAAACATAACCTAAGCAAGCTGGGTGCTTAGCTGCATTGGAGGCCCCACCCCAAGAGGGAATCTCTTTTGGGTAACTCATAACCCAGTGAATATTACGTACCTAGTCGTTGGCTGTGTCCGGGCGTCGATTATCTCATTGGATAGGGTTGTTGGTACGCCCGGTCATCGTGGAGTTTGACATGTTTAGGGCGTTTTGTGGCTATCCGCCGTGGGTCCAATGGATGTGGTTGGCTCGTCCGCTCGACGTAGGATTTTCATTCGACCCCAAATGAAGGGAATACCTAAGCCAACTTAAGTAACTAACTTATGGACACCTCAGTCCCTCTAAGCGGGCTACTAGACCTGAATCGGCAAGCGAGATGCTCAGCCAATCAGCTTATCGCACTAAGTAAAATATGCGGTGCCGATCTACAGTATTCAGCCTCGCCGCTCGTCTTTTGTCAGAGTCCAGCTATAACTAATCGTTGCTGAACCTGTACCGGGCTGATGCATCTTAGCAGACAGAACCCTCTTTTTGTTAGGAGATTACTGGATTAAAATCGCTACGGAAGAACTCTGGCGCTATGTGCGCTGCTTCCCTACACTCATCCCTGCCCATCTCTATCCAAGCACCGTCCAATTTACTTCGGGGCACGGTCGCAAATAATGTCGAACATTTCTCAACATCCGATATGCCCAAGACACCTCTGGCAGGAATCGGGTCGCACCGCCAAAGCCGTTCAGCTGTGCACCCGCCACCGTAGAAAACAAAGTTCTTGGAAATGCGTTGGTCACCTCCTTGAGCCTCTGTTTTCGCCTGTTTGGTTTTATTGTCTTTTTCGGGCCCAAGATATATTCACGTAGTTTGAACCAGAACAAGCTTTGCAACCCATTGCAACTCAAATGAAGTATTGTATCTGATGAAGGTGAATAACAAGGATACCTGCGACCTCCAACACTAAAAGAAGGGTTGATGAGATCAGTCTGTGTGCCCTGGGGCAGTTGTGTTGTATGTTTGTCCGTCCTCTATAGAGCCCGCTTGAGGGATCATGCGATACGAAACTCGATGCTCTTGATCCGGTCCTGTTATCTTCGGCTTTCAAAACAGCCTGTGGTGCGGTAGCTCCTCACATCGTGAACTACAATTGCACTTATCAGGGCCGCCTGGAGAATGATTAATATAAGTTGCATGGCCGAAATGCTTTGTTGCGAATTCCGTCCGCCTCCTGTTTACAGGTTAGGCAGAAGTACGACTTCTGTTCTCGACTATACCAACTGACTCATCACTAAGTAGATAGTAACTAAGGCTACTAGTAATATATATATGGACATAGATTCGAGTTGATTCTAATAGTTCAATCAGCATAAATCTTAAATGATTCTCGTAACCGAGAACTTTTCTTCTAACATCTTTTTGGTTTCTCTCGAGAAATTTCAAATCCTGATCACTATACATACGGCATGGACTTACTGCCAAGTGAAAAAGAAGTAGCCTATGATAATCCAATCTCGGCGGAATCTTCACGTAGAACCACTATAGAAGTAACATTTTAAGGATATAAACTCGAAAATTATACTAAAAGCAGGTAAAGCCAGCATAGGGCAGCTCTGGGAAAAATGAGCCCACCCCCCTGCCAGCTTTCCCCTTCCAGCCATCATTCCCCTCGTCACCCGAGGCAGCATGAAGGACAAAGCCTCGATCCCTTTAAGACACCGAAACACAGTACGCCTCATCTACCCAGAACCCCGTCGTACAATCCGAGGAAACGGCCGGATTCCATGCCAAAAATTGCTCCAGAGTGATATTGTACTTTGTTTCGACGGTGGCGCAGGTATCGCCGGCTGAGACCAGATTAGCTTTCTGGCACCACTGGAGACCCCGGAAGGAATAAAGATCCAGATAGCTGGATGAGCGCGATCTAAAAGTGGACTTACATTGCACGACATAGTACTCATCGCAGTCTGAGGGAATCCCACTCTGCGTTGGGGCAGGGGGGGTCACCGATGCCGCGGAGGTTGATGCGGCTGAGATTGTTGGCGCGGTGGTGGTGGTGGCGGTGGTGGTGCTGGAACTAGATACGCCCACGCAGTAAGCTTCGTCCGCCCAGAAGCCGGTTGTACAGTCGGACGAGATAGCTGGGTTCCAGGCGAGGAACTGAGCTCTGGTGATGTTGTATTTGGCGGCGATGGTGGCACAGTTGTCGCCCGCTGCGAGTAGAGAAAGGGTTATTCAATCAGCATCTGTGGACTTAAAATAAGACCGTGTTGGAGAAGTGTGGCTTACTCTCTGCGACGGCGTACGCATCACAGTTTGCTGGGATGCCGGATTGTGTAGGGGCTGGTGGTGTGACGGAAGAAGTGGAAGATACAGAGGAGGAGGACGACGACGAAGGAGATGCAAGCGTCGTCGAAGAAGCAGTCACAGTCGCCGTGGTGTTTGTCACCACCCCTACGCAGTAGTCCTCATCGGCCCAGAAACCGCTCGTGCAATTCGACGAGATCGCAGGGTTCCAGGCCAGGAACTGAGCCACTGTGATGTCGAATTCGGCGGCAATGGAGTCGCAGCTGTCACCCGCTGCGAGAGAAGAGTTAGTGCATCTGTCCCCCAAGTGGGTCAGGGTTGAGTGACCTACTTTTAGCGGCGTAGTATGCATTGCAGTTGGCAGCAATGCCGGTCTGCACCGGGGCAGTCGGACTGGTGGCGGCTGTTACAGTAGTCGAGGAGCTGTTGGTCGCAGTCATGTTGCTGTACTGCCAGCCAGATAGAGGGTCAACACAGTAAGCGTCACCCGTAACAAGATCCGAGTCACAGGTAGTATAGTTGAGCGAAGGGTTAGCTTCGGTAAACAAGTGAATGGCAATACTGTTGGCGAGACAGATGTCCGAGCAGTTGTAGTTCAGGCTGGCCTCGTTGACGAACCACGCACCGCAGTCAAGGGTGGTCCCCAACGCTACTTGAACCCCTGCCGGTGGATCAACTGGCTCCTCCTCGCCAGAAGAAGTTGTATTTAAGGCCTGGCCGGTGTATGTTCCGCCGGGAGGAGAGACGCAGAGCACCGAGCCCCAATATGGGTTGGTCGAGTGCAAATTGGAGCAGTTCCAGTTCAACTGCGAGTTCCAATTGATGACCTCCGCTGTTGTAATGAAGTTGGCGACTGCAACACTCGAGCATGTATCGTTCGACTGCACGGAATAGACGTCGGTGCAGGTCAGAGGAAGGCAGAGAGTGGTGCCAGCTGCGATATCCGAGCAATTCAGGATATTCGGATTGGTGTAGTACATTGTCGCCGCCGAGATACCTTCAGCCAGAGCAATTGAGTCACACGTGTCGCCGTTTTTAGTGGTGTAGACATTCTGCGAGACACAGGTGGAGGTTGTCGTGGGCACGGATGCATTAAAGGCGCTGGCCGTGGCGTTGAAGTCGGCCACCGTCAAATTGCAAGTGGCTGCCACGTACTCAAAGGTCGTCTGCCAGTCATCGTTGTAGACGTCCGAATAAGCATCCGCCTGCATCAGCTCTAGCTTTTTCACATAGCAATAGGAGCACAAGTCCGAGGTTGAGATATTGGACAACGAATCGACGTTGTCAAAGGTTGCAATCTCATCTATGTAAGTGTTAGTATCTGGTGATATATCATTTATCGTAGACGATTCAATGCGTCTTTCAAGTGTTCCTCTTACCATTGCAATTCTCGCCTGTCGTGGGATCAGCAAAGCAAGAATGATTCCAGCTGCTCCAAACCTGGTCAACCAGAGCCAAGAAAGACATGCCAGGAATCAGCTCAGCCGAGGAACCGCAACTGGCTGAAACTGAATCATGCAATTGCGCAAGCGAAGCCTCGCAGCTGGAAGCACAGAGTAAAGTTGTCAGCGTGGCATTGTCTAGGCTATCAATATAGTCATCCGTGTCAATCAACGAGATAGCATCATTACAGTCAACCGTCTGATACAATGCATTTTCACACGTGGATGTCAGCCCTAACCCGGATAAAGTGCCATTGGCAAAGACTGACACCCCTGACGAGCTTGTTTCAATGGAATCAGTTCCGCGTGCATGAGCTTGGTGCTCAGCGCGGTGATGGAAGTAACCATGAGACAGGGAGTGGGCAGCTTGTCCCGTTGTAAAAAAGCATGAAGTTGCAAGAAGCACTAACGTACAGCGGTTCCCCATGGTTGTGAAGCCGATAGAACGGTCGCAGAGAGTCAGACCAGGAAGAAGAAGAGATAGAAGCTCAACATCGAGATAACAGTGAGGAGGAATGGATTATGAAGGCTTGCCGTTCTATCAAAGGGCCCGCGGTGAAGACGACTTTCATAACCTCGCTGAGTCCCACTCAATTGACCATGTTGTATACGATACCCCGTTTCGAGGCCGGTGTTAAAGTCTGGCTGGTGCTGTGGCTTACTCAATCGGGATCTCATCTCCGAGGGTTCGCGACTCGGGGGGCCATGTAAGATGAATCTGAGACATTTGGGGACCAGCTAGCTTCAATAGTCTACATTAGATCTAATGACAGCTGATAGGCGGCAGAAGAAAAGTACATGACAACGAGATTGGAATGCAACGATAATTTCAACTTATTTTGTCTAAACGTATACACTCTTCACTATTGGTCGATTCCAGGTGGGGAACCGGAAGGACGAACCCTAGCCAGGGGTCTTGGAGGGTACAGTTCCTTCAGGGGTAGACTATTATCAGACGGCATATTGTGCGAGACTGTGGCAAACACAACATGCTCCACCTACTAAACTTCCGTGAAGAGCCGGATAAGACTCAATGCGCTGATTAAATTCCTTTTTGCTTCGCTTAATTGCACCTGGGACATTGGGGGCCAAGGCTTAGCCCCGGGTAAGCATTTTAGACAACCCTGAGTGCAGTCTTAGCCTCTAAGCCGAATGGTTAGTGCAGCACTAGCTCTCTCTTAGCGTGAGGCTTTTAGGGTCTGAACTGCGGCCGTTCTTTCCTCTGTTAATGACCCCTAATGGACTTAATATATCGGCTAAATCGAACACTAAGAGATCTCTTTACGCTGAATAACCTCTATAGTGGGTCCTCAGGTCCGGTCCCTGTAGGTACTCGGGCCTACGGAGATTGTCCTTTGACTCATGGAATATACTGCCATTCATTGAGACCTGTTCCACCGGCCATATCACTCAATTACATTACTCAACAACTCGTGATAATGGAGATTTAATTTGCGAATCGGCCCATTTAGATTGAGGTTACTGCAGGCCAGTTAGCGAACGAGATGTTCAGCCTCACTTGGGTTCCCAAACCTTCCGTGCTACTGCCTCATCAAGAGACTCAAGTGTTGTGTACTCGGCCGAATTGAAAGACGAAAGAAGGGGCTCAAACAGTCCTGAAAGGGACAAGGAAGCCGAACCTCGGCAGATGCAGTAATAGAAGCATGCGTACGGATAGGGCAACAGAGGCCTACCTCAACGCCGCTGTGGGGTCAAGATATGCAACCCATCTACGGGTGGGCACTGGCTAGAGCGTTGACTATCCGAGGAGCAAGAGGACACTCCGGCCACCTTGACCGCAATGTTATTGCCCACGTCTCTAGTCCGTGACCATCGATCCATAAGAGTGAAGTCCATATATAAGTCTAACTCTGGTAACAACTATCAACGCACTCCTTGAGTTTCTTTCGTTCTCATCCAGCGGTAATGTATACCAACTGACATTCTTTCTTTCTTTCTTTTTTTTTTGGCTTTTTCCCCTACCCTCATCCATTCTTTTCAATCAATCGTTCATTTCTCTCCTTCTGCAAATAATCTATCCATGCGGGTTGTTGCGCTTTGGGCGCTTCTAGCCGGGCTGGGAGGGTTGCCCTCAGTTTTCGCAGACACATCCTCATCCACATCTTGCAGCGCTACGGTGCCCTGTGAGACTGGCTGCTGTGACAAATATGGGGTGTGCGGTATGGGACCCAATTTCTGTGGCCCTGACGTGTGTATAAACAGCTGTGATGCCAAAGCCGAGTGCAACCCGGACAATTGGCCGTCCGAATATGTGAATGCAACGACATGTCCGCTGAATGTGTGTTGCAGTAAATATGGCTTCTGCGGTACAACCGAGGATTTCTGTGGGAACAAGACCGTTACCGCCCCCTCATGTGATGCCAGTACTCACTCCATCACTCGTGTCATTGGATACTACAATTCTGCAGCAGCGTCACGCGGCTGCGATGCTATGGCTCCTTACTCCGTGCCTCAGGGTGTCTACACCCATCTCTACTTCGCTTTTGGCAGCATAAATCCGGACACCTTCGAAGTTATTCCCGCGGAGCAGTCTGATGAAGCTCTGTACCCGCAACTAGAAGCACTGCAGATTCGTGACTTGGACCAAGAGCTGTGGCTGTCGATTGGGGGATGGGACTTTTCTGACAGTGACGAACCCACTGCCACCACCTTCTCCGACCTTGCGGCCGCCGACTCCACCACGCAGGCAGCCTTTTTCAAGTCTCTTATTAATTTCATGAGTACCTATGGCTTTACCGGAGTGGACATCGACTGGGAGTACCCGGCTGCCACTGAGCGCAACGGTCGTGCAGAGGACTACGACAACTTTCCCAAGTTCTTGGCCAGCTTGAAAAAAGCCTTGAGTGACTACAAGTACGGTCTATCGATTACACTTCCAACCAGTTACTGGTATCTCCAACACTTCGATCTCACCTCAATTGAGCCTTCCGTCGATTGGTTTAATGTGATGAGTTACGATCTCCACGGCACGTGGGATATAACAGATGTCTGGGAAGGCCCTTACCTCAATGCCCACACCAATCTGACTCAGATCAAGTCCGCCCTTGATCTGCTATGGGGCGTCGACATCGAGCCCTCCAAGGTAAACCTTGGATTAGCGTTCTACGGCCGCAGTTATACCGTGGCGAGCTCCTCCTGCACCGAACCTGGCTGTGAATATCTCTCTGCCGGCACCGCTGGGGATTGCAGTGATACCGCCGGTGTCCTGTTCAACAGCGAGATTGAAGACATCATTAGCGAGTACAACCTGACGGCCACGCTGTATAAAGATGCTGCGGTTAAGACGATCACCTGGGATACCGACCAATGGGCTTCGTTTGACGACGAAGACACGTGGAAGCTCAAAGCAGAGTACGCCAAGTCTGTATGTCTGGGTGGGGTCATGGTCTGGTCGGTTGATGAAGATGACGCGCAGGACACCTTTTCCGACGGCCTTGCGTCTGCCTTAGGGTTGGACGTGAATCTCAACGCGACAACCGGACTGCCACTGACTATCGCAGAAAAGTCTACGACAACCACGACCACAACCTCGTCTCAAGATAGTGTCTGTCGCTTCATTAACTGCGGAGAAACCTGTCCCACAGGTTTCACTGAGATCACCCGCGATGACAAGAAGTCGCAAATCATGTTGGACTCAACTGAGTGCTTAACAGGGTCGAAGCAGACACAAACCCTATGCTGCCCTACATCGAGTGACCTCCCAACTTGTCGCTGGCGTGGCTTTCATAACAGCGGCAAGTGCAAGGGAGGCTGCGATACCGGGGAAGCAGAAGTAGGTACGATCACTGCTGGTTGTCACTCGGGATATCAGTCCGCCTGCTGCACAGTCACCACCTCGACTAAGCCCTGGTCGGAGTGTGCGTGGACCTCCAGCTGTGAGAAGGATGACACCTGCCCGTCAGGGTACGACACCTTTGTTGTGGGATCTCGTCAAGGTTGGGGAGGACGGAAAACATGCAGTGGGAAAAAGAACTACAACTACTGCTGCAAGAGCTCAATCCCGGACGCCTTCACCAACTGTGCCTGGACGGGCCATGAGGTATCTTTCACGAATACCGAGTACTGCACCGATGCCTGCCCTTCTGGTGCCATTCGTATTGCTGAAGAGTCGATCGCCACGCTGATGGGCGCGAACCGACCCGGCAAGGCGTCCGACTGCTATTATGGCAACGAGGCCTATTGTTGCAATGGCACCACTACGACCACCTCCAGCGTCAGTCCACGCTCCAGCTCCGATCCCCTCGCCGACTCTACAGCGTATGAGTTTGAGTACTATCTGAACCAATGGCTGGACAACCCCACGTGTTCCGCCAACGAGGACGCTCAGTACAGTGCGACCTTTGACTATTCCAAACGAGATTTGCACCAACGGGCCTCGACTTCGACCACGACGAGCAAGCAAGACTTGGTCTACATGTATGCCCTAAGCTACCTCGTAGCATGGCTTACCTCCTCCACGCCCCGATCCGACCTGACCGACATTTTCAATGATGCCATGGCGGATCATGGATATCAGGACGAAGCGGCCAATCTCACCATCTTTACGGACACGATCTATGGGTACGGAGACCCTTGGACCGGATCACCCAGCTGGGATGCTGAGTCAATTGTCTCGCAGTTTCTGTGTGATATTGCCACATCTGCCAACAGCATCCAGAGCATGGGTGCCGCGAGCTCTATCCTATGCGAGCTGGAGTCTACCTCATCCTCCACTACTAGCAAGCGGACACTGGAAGAACTCTTCGAAGATGAGTACTCACAAGACGCCGATCATTACGCAACAGCCGGGGGCAACACATCGGTGCCGTTCGGCAAACGCATGCTGGATGGAGCCAGCGAGAGTACTCGATCAGCAAATGGTGACCAGCCTACTATCCTCGCCGCACTACGGGGAGTCGTGAATGTAAGGAGGAACCAGAATAACCTGTTCGCCCCCTTCAACCGCTAATGAATCGTCGATAGGGAGATTTAACATTCCACTACGCCCGCTGGATCCAGGGATCCACGCGCCGGGAGGTCAACCTCGAATTGGCCTTTTGGATTGGCCCTACCCCTGGCACCGCGCCCACGACGTCGATGCTGGCCACCTACGGCGACAGCGGCGACACGGTGAACACAGACCGATGGATCGTCTTCCATCTGCACATGCCACTGGACGCTTACACTTTCCCCGCTCTCACCAGCTCCAATCGGAACTTCTACCCAGGAGTGTCAGCCATGACGGTCTATCACAGCCAGACGCTGCACTCGCTCGGCAACAACGCCGATCCCCGAGCCGAATTCCGCTTCTCCAACACCTATGACAATAATGGTGCCAGTGGAGTCAATGTCGGGACCAGAGCGAACTACAACGGGCGCGCAGAGGCCATCGCCTGCAACAGCAATAATCGGTGGTACATCGGCCGTGACTCGACGGCTAACATCCAAGCGGCCCGGCGGAGTCGGACAAACCTCCCTGTCACCTATGTCACCGAGCTGAACGCATTTGTAGGTTTTACTTTGACTACAGTTTTTTTTTTTTTTTTTTTTTTTTTTTTTTTTTTT